TATTTCCCTAATAAATAATAATAATAATATGTAAATATAGTAAAAGTGCAAAACTGACAATATTTGTAGAAATTAAATAGACGTCACCAAATTTAATTTCTCTAAATTACAAATTTAAAAAATATATAAATTAAAACTATACTATATGTTGCTTTCGTTTATTATGTTTTTTTTTTGTTAATTATACACTAATTATATAATGCATAACATATATTTGATTATTAAAATAAAATATAACTGTAAATTAACTTTCATAGCAAAACATTATGCATTTCGTATAAAACATTACAGTTGAGTATGATTTTCGTTTCAATTTATTATAYTATTATTTTACAACAAAATTTAGTAAATATTTTAATTTAAAATTGTAAGTATTTTACTTACTTAGACATCATTTATAACAACATTTATCTACAGTAGTGTTGATTTGCAGACACTATTGTTTCGGCACTTACTTAGTACCACTTCATCAACACAATTGCACTGATAGTCTTAGACATACCAGTGATTTAAGCCGTACAGGAAGTCGGATGTTTGGTTTAGGTTAGGTTAATATTATGGTAATAATATTACTATTTTAATTATTTATATAAATTTGATACAATTGTAAAATAAYAAAATAGTGTTTATATTAAATCTGAAATAGAGTAATATATTAATAATATTAATATAATAAATATTAATTTTTAATATTTGATACTAGTACAACAGATTAACTAAAATTACGCCTAATTACTAGATTATATTGTATTTAATTTTAGAAATTGATTATACTAGGTTAAATCATTTTTATTTTTATGAAATAATAAAGTCAATCTAAAAAGTATTTTTAGCTGAAAAAGAAACTATAAATATTGTATTATTTTTATATGATTTATAGTTTTAATTATGATTTTTGTWRTKAATTACAAATTTTTGATTACTGAAACTAATTTAGTTTTATTGTAATAATAATAATAATAACAATAATTTTCTTATAGGATATAAAGATCCTTATTCTTTGACATCATTAGTTTCAACGGTATTTTATTACTTGATATCATTGTTGATGAACTTTATACCCCTTAGAAATTACTTTCAATATCTTATTATTCAAACAATTTTTTTAGCAAAATTCCTTAGATAATCAAATAATTAAATGCAATTAAAATCATATAATTATTTTAGTTTTATTAATGTTTACATATAAGATAAWAATTATTTTAGCTAATCATAAGATAAAAAACATTTAAATAAAAAACAAAATTTATTAAAATGATTTAAAAAAGGAAATTTGTTTAAACTTTTAATAATAAAATTATGCAATTATATAATTAATWAAAAATTTGCAAGTATAAAAATGGGTTTAATTCCAGTTATTTTAATTGATTTTATTAATATGATTCCAAATATAATATTATTGTATTATTAAGATTTATTTTATTAATTAATTATATATTATATTATCACAAATAATTTTTGAATTAAAATAAAAATATTTTTATTTATTAAAAAGTCTAGAAATCTTAGTGTAAATTATATTTTTAATTCTAGTWAATTTATGTATAAAAATAAAAAAGTTATGCACTTTGTTTTATTATAGAATAACTATGCAAAAAATAAAATAAAACATTTTGTGATTAATATAATTAGATATGTTTATTATACTGTATTTTATCTCATATTTTACTAAACAATTTAAAATTTAATAAAAATATATTTACTTTAATTAATAGATATCATGACTCAAGAATTTGATTCTACAGTATGTTATCATAATATTATAATATGTTATATATTTTGTCAAACAAATACATTATTAACTCTTTTATAATACTGTATATATAATACAGTACATGTACTGTACACGTACTGTACTGTACTGTATAACATATGCATTATATYCATACAAATATGTATGCAATAAACTGCAGTATGACTGAAAATTGTAAACACTTTAATATAAAGTACATATAATATCTAGTTATATCTAGACTGGCCAACTAATTTTATACTAAAAAATGACATTGATTAAAAATTTTAWGAATATTCAGGGACAAATCCAAGACATTTAAAAATGTTTATTAAATTAAATTTATTATATTTTCTAACCATTTAGTTATTATTTAATATAAATAWATTGTCACATACAGTATATTACTGTGACATTCATATATAATATCATTAAGTTATGCATTAATTTTTATAAAATAATTATGTATTGTTTTATTTCAAATTGTCTTTTATATAAAATATTTGAAATTTTATGCATATARCTCATACATATCTTAATTAATTAGCYGGGACATTTACAAAAACTGAAATAATTAGTCAAATCCGGTATTGTCCAGACCAAACGGGGACGGTTGGTCACCCTAGTTAWATCGATWATATATTACTTGAATTTACCTATTTATTAGTGTCTAAAGTATTAGATTAAATGCACATATTTTTGTTTTTTAACATTATAGCAAAATTATACAAATTTAGTAAAATTATTTACTTTTTTATTGATATTATTAATTTGATAAAACTTTAAGTTTAGTTTAAATCTAAATAACTACATATAAATTAATAGTTTATTCTCAGAAGTTTATCTAAAATTGCACTCTTGTTAAGTAATATTACTTTATTTAATAAAGAATTTTATTTATCTTTTTTGTTTTCAATAATGATTATTGCAGTCATTGAAAAATAATTAAAAAATGATAATACTTAAACTTAAATTTTAGAAAATAAATTTATAAAAAAAACTTTGGGAAAGATAATGTTATTAATCAATCAATTATTAATATTTTCATATATGTTGATATAATTTTTCTTTTATTAACATATTATGCAATATATGACACTATAATAAATAATAAGAATTAAATGATAATTATTTTGAAGAAAATGTTTTCTATTGCTTTGAATTTAAGCCAAAAAATAAATTCTGTTATATATTAAAGGGTTTTGTGACTTTAGTTGTGAGCACTTTTGTTTTTAGGCTATAATTTTGGCTTTAAAATGATTTAGTCATAAATATCACAATTATTAACATTAAATTGCTTTTTAAAAAGTATTTATTATTTTTATTAATTTTTATTTGCCATCTCTTTAATCGACACTTAAATATTCATATGATTTAACAATTTGATTGACTCAATGATAGCTAGAATTGAGTTCAAAACTCTGATAAATTGAGAATTACTTTATTTATTATATATATATATAACTTTGAATAATTGCTATTTTATCTGTATTTGTTGTTTTTTATCAAAACTTATTTATTTAAAGCAATATTATGTTATTTTTGTTTGCGTTCTCCGATAACTAAATTTTCTAAACAAATGGTTTATTATAATATTTTTGTTGTTATCGTTGTTGTTGTTGTCAACTCAAACATTTAGAAAGTCGATTGAAAAACTATCTATTGATTGATGTAAGAATAAATATTTAACTTTTGAAAAAATTAATAACAAAATTTTTAAAATAAATTCACTATAACTTTATTACTTAATTTACTGTTAAGTTTTATTTTCAAGTAAAAGCTTTTTTGACTGACAAAAAAATAAAATTTATTAGTTATTGCTATACTTATTGAARACTACTTTTAATGTTTAAATAAATAATTTATTTGTTAGAAATCAAAAAAATATTTTAAAAACCTATGCTTTAAATTTTATGTTTGTGTCTATTATTTTTTATGTTGAAAACTATTGTGATAACTATTATAAATGTAATTTTGGTTGTATTTTWAAAAWTTTACCATATATGTATTTTTTGCTAAAAATTACCTTTATTAATTATTTATACCATTTTTAGTAATATTCATAAACTAATACTTATAATATCAATTTTAGTTAATTTTTTATTATGCAAAAATTATGATCCATTAAAGATAATAAACAATAAAATATAGTACTTATCATAAAAACAATTTAATATATAAGAAATAAAAACAATGTCATATAAGGAAATATAATTTTAATAATTTATGATTACATTAAAAGATATTTATGATAACTTATCATGATAAAAAATTATCTTAATAAATTATTTAATTCAGTCAATTTTTATCTAGAATGTGAATCTCTATTTAAATTTATTAATTAAATTAAAATTAATTTTTAATATGAATAAAATTGAAATATTTATTTGACTGATACTAAWWATAAAATTTATAAAATATTAATTAATTTTCATAAATAATTATAAACTAAGCTATTACTCATYAATTTAATGATATTATATAATTTCTAATGACCTTGACCTTGCTAATTATTYTACAGGTTTTACTTTTTATGTAATAAAAGTACATTAATTAAAACAAACAGATAATTATTGAATCAAATAAACAAATATAGTTTAATAATATATAACTACAACTAGTCTACAAGTGTCCATTTTTTAAATATTTTTAATTTGATCGCATGAAAAAAACGACAAAACAGTAATTTCATACAAACATTGCAATAATGTTATATTTAGCATAAAATATACATAAGTAATATCTTTTATCATATAATTCAATGCGCAGAATGTGTTAAACTCTTGACGTAATGTTAAACAAATGTTTGACTTTATTTACAGTAATATACAGTATATATATATATTTCTTTGAGAAAGAGTTTATTTTTTGAAAAAACACTTTTACATCATTTTACATGAATTTTATTGCATTGAATAAAATTGAAAATTTAAAACATTATTTAAAAATTATATAATATTAATATTAATTTTCTAAAACCAATGATTTACTTGAATTTTGTGAGTTTCCGAACTATAATATTACAAATATATTTTTAAAATTATAATTACAGACATAATTCTATAATAATTATTGATGTAAACTTTATTATTAGGAGTATATAAAAATTATCAGTATATGTTATTTAAATTATTATATAATATTTTCATTGTGTTAACATTGTATATAACTAAATAATTTAGAGATTGTCTCCAAAGTGATAATAATTATGATATAATAATAAGTTATTTTTTGCTCAACCCTTTTAACACTACAAATCAACTATAGAAAGTGTCTTCTATGGGACACCTCATTGGTTAGATGACTAAAAGTAATAAAAAAATTATATATTGATTATTAATCATAAATTATTAATTTTATTTACTTTCTATGTTAAGGCAAACTATGTTTAGCTCATTATATATAAGAAACAATGTTTTCCGTTAACTGTAGTCAAACATTAGGTCTGACTTTTGATAGTAAACCGGACGCAAATCAAACCAATAAGTGGTTGACTTTCAAAATGAGTGATTACACCGAAGATGATAATCACTTTGAAGACCTATTTAAAGACAATATTGTGTGGACTCCAAGAGATATCATTGAATTGCAAAACTTAGAAAAGGGTTTGAAAACAGAAGTGCAACAATTTGAACAAAACAGTCCTAACATTGAACAACACATACATCACAATATGGATCAACAATTTGATAACAATATGGATCACCAATTGGATCAACAAATGCAGTCATTTTCAAATGGTAGGATTCATTTAGTTTTTTTATATTCTTCAATATTAATAATTTTTAAATCTCTTAATCATTTTATTTAWATAAAATCTGATTATTTTTATATATGCACTTAAAAATATTAATATTTGCTTTTAAATAAATGTTATATTTATATTTCAAAAGATTTTGTGGTTTTATTTTTTATTAGTGGTAATCAATAAATAGTTATTCTAAAGATAAGTCAAAAAAGAATGAGAATTTTTTTAAATTGTGTTTAAAATTAATTGTTAGTGATTTAATTAATTAAATTTTTTATTGATTATCAAATTATTAGTAATATATATATATATACATGTATGCATACTTTAATACACTACAAACTGAATATTAATGAGAATTAATATTGTGTTTAATCTTGGGAATTAATTATTATATAAAAGTTTTTATTTATTTATTGTTATTTGGTATTATAAATAATCRYAATCAATTATTATAATTATTTTTATTTATTAAGATGATATCATTTGTTAATGATAATTAAATTAATTTTTAAAATTTTACTTATTAAATAATCGATGTTTTATGATTGATTATCTTATAATATTGAATGTAAGATATGTTAATAATTGCTATTATTTCATACAATTACTTAAAATAAGTTTAATGTTTATACAAGTTTTTAATTTTAAGTGAAATTGTTTAACAATTACAAATTATTTATTAATCATATATGATTATTAATAAGTCTTGATTTAATAAAATTTAATATTATAAAATTTAATATATAATATTTGACATAATTAGTGCTTAATATAACCAATGTATGAATGTATATAATGTAGTTATTAATGTATGTTCAATTTATAATATAAAATAGACTTATCTTAATTTTACTGTTATTATGCTATGGTATGATATGTTAATTTTTAATATTATTTAGCATAATTAGTACTATATTAATCAGTATTAGTAGTTATAATAATAAAATAAATATATTATATAAGTATAATTTATATGTTGTAGATGTGGTGTTTATTTATAAGACAATAAAAATTTACTGCATGTATGACAAAAATGGCAAAATTAGTAAATTATTTAGTATTTAACTAATAATATTTGATATTTCTATTTTAATATTTGTCTGAAATCAAAATTTTATTGAATCAATAAAATTAGATTTGACTCAACAATACATGTTTGCAAACAACACTGTCTTAAGCAATACAAACTCTTCAGAAGCGATACCAATAAAACAATCGACAGCAACGGTCACAAAACAAAGTCAGAGTCCGGGAACACAATTGGATATAATTAATGTTGACTTCAACAGAATGGCTGTCCAAAGTCCKACATCATCGCTAACACAACCGTGGAGTCCATCCAATTGTTCACAATCATCGRTGAGTCCAATAAACACCAGAGTTAGGTGTGATTCTGAACCAATACATCCCAATGAGTTGCATAACCGTTGCAACACATCATCGCTAAGTGACTGCGGAAGTCGTTTACCACCCTTGCCATACAACAAGAAGAACTATACGTCACCGCTTCCAAGTTTTGGTCAAAGCTTTACAACAAATCAAACTAACGGCTTATCACAGGCCAAGAGTTATTCACATATTGAACAAACAATTGGACAATCAGACGATGAAATATTTCCAATATGTGATACCTGTCCTTTCAATGTACCACCAATACCATCACCATCAGTGCCAAATACAGAGTCGGTGTCAACAACTGGTCAACATCGAGAAAGAGGTCGACCCCGTAATCCTAATAGTAGACCGAGTTTGTCAGCATCTGAGAAACGAGAGAGAGATAATTATAAAGTCAAATATGAAGAAGCAAAGAGACAACACCTAAAACAACACGTAAGACATCTGGAAAGTCAGATCTCAAGACTAACCAAATTGGCACAAATCAATGGCATTCATTTCAAGACAACTCAACAGCAGATCAATACACACACACCGGTATATCTCCCATTAGATTCAACCACACCTCACATATTAATATCCGATTCTTGCTTACAGATATCAATTCAAAATACTAACACATGTACTGCAGTGTCAACGCCTAACCAAACCATTACTAACAATAACCCGATTGTCGACACTAATCTAATATCAGGTAATTTTAGTCAAAACATTGAAAACAATCAATTACTGCAAACAAATAATCCAATTAATTGCAATAATATTAACATACAAATGATGCCAAACGAAGGTTCAATACATGTATCTAATAGTCCTGATTATTATAATGTTATTCAGACATCACAGACTAACTTAGTCCAGACCTCAATCAATCAACATTATACCCAACCATCTAATTCCTATATAAACCCACAAATGTCAGGTACATCCACWCTACCTGTAATGCAAATTTCCAACCCTATAGTCAATCAGTCTCAAAGTTTTGTTCCCTGTGCTCATCAAATGGTCTCATCAAACATGAATAGTACAGACATTGGATCAACCAATCAATCAGTTTCCGATGATTTTGATGATTCATTTGATTATTTTGATGATTAATATAAAATTGTAATTTCATTCATATTTGACTTTATATTTTTGGTATCTAAGCTTTAAGTATGACTTTTATTTTAACTAATTTTTTATTTTGTGGCATAATATAAATTAATAAGCAAGTACAGTACAGTAGATTAATTAATTAATTAATTATAAATACAATAGATCTCATTAATATGCTTCAATTATTTTAATTAGTGTGTGATATTAATAACTTATACATAAGTATTTTTAATATTTATACTATATTTTATAAATATAGTAATGAATTTATATAACTTTATAGGTTAAGTGCCATTTAATCTTATCATATTTTATATTTCATATTTTATGTTATATGATAAATGTTTACTTCAAATTAAAGCTCAATTTTAGCATTCATTTTAATAGTCAAGTAAAACAATAATAATTCACATAAAATGTTGGAATATTATATACAGTTTATAAAGATTGCTATTAACAGTAATATAATATTTATTATATTTTTTATAATCTTTAAATAAAAATATAGTTTTCCATTCATTATAATTATATAATGTATATATTATTTGATTTGTTGTAATCAAATGTAAACAAAAATAGTTAGTTTTCAGTTAACAGGTTATGATTATCAAAGTAAATACATTTATTGTACTTTGTTTTTACAACAATTTGTTTTATTATTAATTTAATTAAACACTAATGTTTGCGATTTAATAAAACAATTTATATAATATAATTAATTTAAAAATGTAATATTTTTTGAATAGTGCAATTTTTGTTTTTAACATAATATTTTTAATTGTCAATACTCTAGTATTTATAGACTTTTTATGTGTTATTTATTTCGAAAATAAACATTAATGTTATTTTATTGATAATACTTTTATACAAAATTGTATAAGAAATTTGTATTAAATGATTTGAAAACAAGATGTATGCTATACTGTATGAAATAGATTTATTGAATTAATTGTAAATTTTAAATAAATTGAAATAAATTTATAAAATAAAACAAAATATTTATTCTTAGTATTTAATTTTGTTAACAAATAATTAACGTTACATATGATGATTACATATACAACTAATGACATAATTATCAAAGTTTAACAATAACTATAAAGAGTGTCCTATAATTAGAACATTATTTAGTATTTTAATTAATCACAATTGATTATATTTTTATGCTTGATCAATTTGATGATCAATTTGATGATCAATTTGATGATCAATTTGATGATCAATTTTAAATAAACTCATTAATTATATAAAATACAGTATTTATATTTATTTCACTCTTTATATTGTTTATCGATCACTAATGCTAACAATAAAAATACAATTTTAAAGACAAATGTGAAATTATTATTAGATTTGTTATGATAAATTTGAAATAAATTATTTTTAAAATTTAATTAATTATTAATATTTATTTTAAAATTAAATGTTGCATCAATTTATTCATTTCAAATTAACAAATTATTTTTACGAAATGATATGAATTTAACCGCTTTATTGAACTCATTGAAGGAAATCAATAGATCCTGTGTTTCTAATTATTATGTTTTGATTTTTATTAAAATACGTGCAATAATTTAATTWGTATTTAATTACAATAAATAAATAGAGATATAAATCTGTTTATATTTCCTTTTTTATAATTTATATTTTTCATTTATAATTGCTGTTAAATTATATATAGTACTAATTATATCTTTTTTTTTGTTAATTTAAACTCTTTTAGTACAAACACTTTAGTTTAATAATGGCATCATTTATTATAAGTTATTATGATTTAATTCAAAATACATTTACATACATTATTAATAATATTGAATTTATGACAATTAGTGACAATTTAAAATTATTAAATATTTTTCAGTATATTAATAATATATCTCAAACTGATATTTTCATAATTGTATTAATGAGTACAGTGTGGACTTTATTAAGAAAATTGTTGACAAAATATATCTTTAAACCSATCACAAGATTTTGTGTAATGAACTCAAAAACCAGTCAATCATTTGTTGAAAGTTTATGGCGTTTACTATACTATTTGCTATCATTTTCTATTGTTTATACAATTGTATTCATCGAAAACAGAGGAAAGTTTTTCGATGAAACTAAGAAAGTCTTCGACGACTTCATGAGCTATAGCACCGGTAGTTCACCAATTGGTCCGACAGAAAGATGTCTATATTTAACTGAATTGAGTTTTTATATTCACTCCATTTATGCACTGTTAGTATTGGATGAACATCTGAAAGATTTTTCAGTGATGTTAATGCATCACTTGATTACAATAACATTATTGGTATTGTCGTACGTTATACGGGCCCACACTATCGGCACAGTTGTCATACTGTTTCACAATAGCACAGACATACTGATGGAGACCTCCAAATGTGTCAGTTCTTTACGACACATGAGAGGCATTTGGGGACACATGAGTAAAGTGATTACAATCATTATGTTTATCATATTTATGACTTCATGGATAGTATGTCGTCTTTATTTGTTCCCAATGGATATACTCAATGAGATCACACAATTGAATCCACAACCAGTTGTTTGCATACTGTTTGTCTTACTTTGGATTATTTTTGCAATGAATATCTATTGGTTTGTATTTATTATCAAAGTCTTACTTAACATTTCTGAACTCAAAGATAATCGCAATTATGAAAAAATCAAATCAAAAGCACTTTTAAAAAGTAATTAATAAAATTTATATGAAATTAATAATAAGTTATAATTTTAATATAAATTGTCACATGTTTGAATTATTTAGTCTTATGATATTAAAAATAATATAAATTAAATCAAATGTTATTTATTAAATAAAATTAAATAAAAGATAAAAACAATTTATTATATTTGACTTCTTGTGATTGTATTTAATAAATTTCTCTCGAGATTTGATTTTATGTATTAATTCATTGAATATTTCAAAGTAATAGAAAACATGAGATTAAAAATGATTGTCATTAATGTCTTAATTGTAATAAATCTATTGAATTCATTAGTTTATGCTTTTGTCAATTTATCCGATACTATACCCGATGAATGTGGTGTTTCTCATCAAGAGCTCAATCAAACACTTCAACGATTAGATCATTGTTTGTCTAAACGTTGGGATCCATTGTTTGTAAAGAAAGACATGAATTTTGAATTACCGTTAATTGAAAAAACCCCGAATATGTTGGACAACATATTCCAGTGGTTTACCACAATAGTACCCAAATCGGCACTTCAAGTAATTGGTATCACTTTGAGATCAAATGAACYAAACTATCAGATAACCAAAAAGGCCTGTTGTTTCATGTGGGAGAAGATCTGTGTTCGCAATAAAGTCTATAAAATCAATTGTTTAGTCACTAATGTGTTTGAATCCAATGTCCGTCGAGACTATAATGCCATTCAAAAGATGTGTACAGAAATCAAGTTCTTCATTGACGATGAATTTTGTCAGAGTTTGGAAACAAAACAGTTTAACGACAAACTCTGTAATCCATACCTTCCTTGTAGTCAATATGATATCGTTCCCATATATATGAGTAATACAAGAGATAATATTAATTGTAATCAAAATGCATCTAAAGTTATAATTTTGTTTTCAATTTTGTTTTTCTTGTTATTGTAAAAATAATAATTTTATTTATTGTTTGTTTATATTCAGTATAATATTAATTATTATTTTTATCTAAAGTAAACTTATAACTTATAAGTTATAAGTTATAAATGTAATTAATTAGACAAACAATAATTGGTTCTTTGATTAATTAATTTTTATTATCAGTTTTCGTAAATTTTGTTATAAGTTATACAATAACCTAAAGCATATTAAATGTCTAAATAAGACACTGTAAWGCTTTTACATTATTAACTAAATTAAACATATATCATAGTTACTACAGTATATTATAGTATACTATACAGCAATATAGCAATATATACAGAAAAATTGACAAAATTGATTTATAGTTGAATTTTTTATTTAAAAAATATAAAATTATCAGTTAACTATAAATAGTAACAAAAACTAGTAAAAAAATTAACTACCAATCAATTTTGTCAAATAGTGATTACAATATAAGTTTGAAATAGTATGAGATATAATAAGTTTTAATTTATTCAAATAATATTAAGATAACAAACTATAAGCTACTGTATAATATACACATTTTACAAATAGTTAATAAAAATACTGGGGCTTAATATTTTAAAATTATTGATATTTTATAATAATTTAATACATATTAAGTATTATACGATTAATCTATAAAATTACAATTGACTAAAAAATAAAGATTCTTTAAAATTGATGTTATTGAATAAATATGTAAAAATAATTTAATTTTAATACAAGTCACTGTATATTAATAAAAATAAATAATTATTTTTATACATTAAACAGTTTTGCATATATTATATAAAATAAGTTTATTTAATAATTAAAGTCAACTGTTTACTAGACATACAGTATATATAATGTATTGAAAATATATTTATAGTTTAATTGAATTAATAGTTTAAATTTGAATATAGAATGAAGTATTCATATGATATGATATTCAATATATTTGACAAATAGTTATCATTAGTTGATTGTATAGTTAGACAAGTGTTAGTAATTTCGTTGTTTTAATGTCTAATCGATTCAATTATTGATAAACTGATGACTTTTAGTACTAAACACTTAAATAACTAATAATTTTGTTTTGATTTCAAGTGATTGGCATTTGTTGTAAAAATCTAATAAAATATTGACCGCAAACTATGGCCACTTTTGATGCATTTTTTCCAAACTTTAGACGCGATTTGGGACTAGAAGTCTGTCCATTCAATTCAAATCATAAGATTAAACCATCAAAGTATTCAAAACACGTGAAGAAATGCGAACAATTGAACCCCCATTTGGTCAGAAAAGTGACGGCTTGTCCACCAAAGAGTATGTTTATATCCATTGAGTCGTTGGCCAATACAGATGACACGGGATATGTGACATCTGAATGTAATTTATCGGATTCGRTCAATTCGGTCACTGGTTTTATCGATGATTGGTCTGACAATAACATATGTTCGCAAATTACTAATGATAACAATATATCAGTCAATGACTCGGCTATTAATATATTGGACGAACACAACGTTGTTGTCGATGAAGTGGTACCGACTTCTTGTATAAATGAATCAAATAATGACATTCAAAACGATGTATTAACACTTGAAGAGAATCTAATTGATTTGACTCCTGTTGTCAACAATGACTATACAAATACGGCTCAAGATTGTAATGACTGGAACTGTGGACAACCATATTCTCTGATMGATACGACCATTGATTACAATAATTTATGCGAAGACCAAATGAGACAATTGATTGCAAATGGTGTCGACACCATTATCTTGTGCCGTCTCAACAAAAGTCAGCGAAAAAAGTTTTATCAACTTATGATTGCAGTCAAAGCTGAATCAAAGGAACTAAAGAATCGGGCGATCAATGAATTGGTGGCCATTAAGGACAACCAAAAGACAGATATTGACTACACTTGCGATGATATCCGTAAACCACGAACACATATAAATGATTTATTTAAAAATTTGAAGATTAAAAACAACAAAAACGATACTTCAAATAAAATGAATATTAATTTGGCAACAAATGAAACTGTTTCGGATAAAACTGATGAAAGAGATGGAAAATTTGTTGAAATAATAAGAGAGTCGATGCCAACAACCGATAAATTTTATGACATCCCAGTCATTGATTGTAACTCTTGTGATCATAAGATAACTTTGACGCCCGATGTCATCAAACAAATGAAGATATGGTGCTATGATTGCAGTGCTGTTAAGTTCGGGGGTTTCTTTGAGTGCCAATCGTGTCAATTATGCGGTTATTTGAGTGAACCCGAAATGAAAGCCCATCTCAACAAACATTTCCCACACATTAATATTAATCATTGAATTATATAATACCGGTATTTTTCAATTCAATTATTTGACTGACTTATTAAAGTTATTATTATTTTAATTGTTATACTTATTAGTCGACAAAAATTTTATTAAATTTTATAATTTATTTCATTATTAATTTTATTGTTATAGTTTTACAGTTATAGTTACCATTATTATTGTACTGTTTATATTATTTTTTACTAATATTTTTTTATAAATTTTCAAGTCTGTAAACCATTGTTCCAATAAATGATAAAAGTTAACTATAAAAAACTATTAATATTAATTCTAGTAGATATATAAATATATCTAATAATTATATTTTTGGCTTTAATTAAAATTTAGTTAATGTAAGTCAAGTTAATTAATTATAATATCTATATTATTATTTTAGTTACACTCAAAATATGTACATTTTAACCAAGTATTTTAGAATTTAGATAAAATAGCAATAATTGTTTTAAAATATTTAAAATTTCAGTTAATTAGACATATTTATGGTAACATATTTATTAATATTAATTTTATTAGATTTTTAAATTTGATAAAAGGAGTCATTGTATAGTAATTTAGGAACAGTTGTACTGATATTAAGACTATTGTTGGTATAAAATGAATGTAAATGTCTTTCCTTATGAATGGCATCAGTGAAGAGTAGTTTTCCGTCGCCGACGACATAATGGTTGACAAACTCTTGACAGTTAGTCTTTCTGAATCCGCTCAGGAAGAATGATCGTTCAGTAAATGTCAGATTCTCTGCGGGTTTGACGAAATCACATGACGTGACCACAGCGTTGGACTCAATTACTTGTCCGCACAAGTAATACAAATGCCGACGTTTCAGATCTACACCACAACGCGAGCTCTCAGTTGGAGTGAAAAATGTATGCATTTTTAAGGCGCGCATTGATTTCGGACTAAAACGGATCATCCGTACGGCCCGGTAGGTGTAGTTGGAGTAAGTGATGCTCTTATAGACGGCACCCGTAACCGCCTTTTCCGATTCAATTCGGACTTCAATACAGAAGTCGGAGCGACAGAAACGTCGAATCAGATTCTCGTCATAACAGTTGAGACCCGGAAGACATCTGTCGGATACTGTTTCCTCATAGACGGGACACTGACATCCGTGCACTGAATTAAGACAAGTTGTGACCAATACTAAGATTACTAGTAAATGGATTGTCGATATCATTGTCGACATTAGACAACATTTATGGCACAAAATACTAAACGTTTTCCACTTTTCCAGAATATTCAAGTGTTTCAGATTCTGTGCCACATATGCTATACATTAGCTCTTAATATGATATCAAATACAGTACTAATGTTTTACTATATAGTGATTAACCCTTTTATTAGAGATTTGTGTGTTTTATAAAATACGGAATAAATATGTCAAACATTTCTATTCATTTTCCAATATTTAAAATATTAATATAAATTTACTTCTTTGTATTTAAATTAAAGTATTTTAAATACAATAACTTGAAATAAAAATTTTTATACAATTTTGTCAACATTTTTGTATTATTTCTATTGAAATTACAAATTATTACTTTAGAGTATTATTTATACTAATATAACATAAATAAATAAAAATATTTGTTATAATATATATGACTTATAAAAACATAAAAAAAGTTTGAATGCTAAAATGATTAATTATCAAACACACAATACTTATATATTTTGACAACAATTGAATGACAGGTTAGTCTAAATTTAACTTTTATGTTGATATTTGAATTTTAGTTTAATTTAACGTGCAATCGACTAAACTTTTGTTTAATAATTTGAATTCAAATAATTTAATTTATTARATAATAGTAGATTTGCTAATCGTTTCCAAATTGTAAGTAAAAGATGTCAACAAAACAGAAAAGTCAGAATCGATTTGTATTCAGATATGCGGTTCGCAAACAATTCAAGAACCAAAAAGGATTGTCTGAATCAGTCATCACTTTGACTGAAAAGAAGACTCCGGTGTCGGCCACAGAAGCGTTCAAATATTATGCAAAAATCGGTGGACTTCTCAATCTTCAAGATATGCACACCAATGATGCCAAAGAATTGTTGCCTAAAATCAATTTATACGGAGAGTGTCTCGTTATGGCAAAGTATAGGACCACTGAAGGTCTCAATATCTGCGCTGTTGTTGTGCCAAAYGCTAAGGGAAAGGCATTGTTTGAGACGGTTTCTCCGATCGTTAGTTTCATACCAAGATTTGATGGTCGCAACAACAAAGTTATTTGTGGTCTAAAAATTGCTTCTTTAGGGGATAAATATCACAGCAGACAGTGGACCCGATATTCAATTGGTGGGACAAATATTGACAGAAGTAATGCGGCCGGAATTTATGAGGTGACTGAAGGACACAATTATGACAACGACCTGAAACAGAGTAAAACCGGTAAATGGATTGGATTTTATGTCGGCACAAATACATCACTTATTGTCTATGATATTGGAACTGTCGATCCAAACAAGTCCATCGTTGCCGATCAAAACCACACTCTAGTACAAGAAGGAGGGTTCGTCTACTGTGACGCAGAACTACAGTTCCGTTTGTATGACAAAAGCGATGACAAACTACTTACAGACAAAGAGTTATATGAAATGTTTAAAGAAAAAGACGATGGAGTGCTTGGAACAGACAAATACAAGAAAAGTCATTTTATTCGCGACAATTCTGAAGAAAAGAAAAGGTCGGCAATTATCTTCTTAAAGCAAAACCAATGGCTTCTTCCATATCAACTGTATATCACTGAAGACAAGAGTACTGACACTCTTTATAAAGGGAAACGTATTATTGTATTGTGTTTGCCATCCGATGGACAGTTTGAATACTCTGAGTACTGGTCACTAAAAGATGGCTTACAAACCGTACAAAAGCGACAAAATGAGAAACCCTGGTCTCTGTATTTAATGGCTGAAAATGAACCGACAAATACTAATTTTAAAGACACTATCGATGACAACATTGTTTTCAACTCTTTTCCAATCAATGACACAATCAAAAAGACACCACAAAGTGATGAGTTTTACAAAAGACTCAAAAAATGCCGAAAAGGAGGCAAAGGAGGCGAACAATCAAAAAGCGATAAAAAAGAAAAGTCAGACAAAAAGGAGTCACAAACTGGAGATTCTTCCAAAAAAGAGATGAAAACTGAAGATACAGTCAAAACTGAAAACAGTTCGGAGACTAAAAATGATAAAAATGACTCAAAGAGTGATCAAGAAGTAAACAAAAACAAGAAAAACGACGAAAATGTTGCCAAAGAAGACGCTTAAAGTGATCGACAAATTGACAAAAATTCAAATATTTGTTGTCTCTATCAAAGTATTGTATATATCATTAATATATATGTAATTTATTATTAGATATTATTAAATACATATTTAATGAAATAACAAATAATAGTAATTAATTACAGAAAATTAAATAATATAATTATTTTTCCATTTTTTGTTAATTATATTTTGTGTAAATGCCATTAATTTTACCAAACGATTGCTACTATGTTTACCATTAATTTTTAGATTAGTTTTAAGTAAAAGTATACTCAATACTAGTACTCTTAGTATTATAAACTGTATAACAAGTAAAATATAATTTCTATAATAAAAACTATTGTCGAGTCTAAAGAAATACATTATCGATGAGATCTCATGTTTTGTACAGCGATTGAAACCATAAAATCTTATTAATATAGACTCAGATATGAGTTTAGTGATCGCAAAATTGCTTAACCATTGAAGACTATAATGCAATTCATGAATAGGTACCAAAAAATTGCTAAATAAACATAAAATTATATAATAAAGAATTGATGCAATTATACCAGATTTAAGATCATTATTAAAGTAAATGCTTATTATATGTCCTATATTTTGCATGCATAGTATAGCAACTATTAATCCAAACAAATAGTCCCAAAAATAGGTATAATCTTCATAAATGTTAACTATAAAAACAAAACAAACTGTTGTTATTAGTGTTGGAAGTATTTCAATAATGGCTTTGGACCAGTAATATGTACCGGTGCTGTACCAACCTATTCAATTCAATGTCATAAAAATTATAATATTTAATATAATGATGTGATTTATAACATACTGTTTCGGTGTTCACTGAGAAATAGTTTGACATCCGGTGTGAATGTCATAGTAGTTGTAATCAATTCAAAGAATAGAAATAATTGGATGAATGAAAAATTGTAGAAAATATTTTGAACTAATAGGGATTCATCTTTGAGACGATCGTCAGATTTATTGCAATTTTCAAAGTCGTCTTCAAGATTGAAACAACCGCTCGGTTTTCCAATATTTTTGTTAAACAATACCGTCAATGAATAGCCGGATAACAAAATTGCTATAAATTTCATTAATAAAAATCGATAAAAATATTGATAAGTTTGTGTTAAAGTCCTCAATAAGAGATGCTTAAGATCTTTCAAGAAAAATCGTTTGCTTAGAAATGGTATTCCGTTTGGATAGACATTAGTTTCTTGATTGCATCGATTGGTAATCAAATTTATTTGCATTTCATTTGTCTTGTGAATCAAATTCTCTACTAAACTTTGATCCACTCTTTTACAAGAATATTTAACCAACACTTGAATAGGTATTTGACTTTCCAAGCATTCAACACCACATTCAGTCAAATGGTATCTCAATTGTTGTGGAGAACCTGAATATACAGCCTGTCCTCCTTTAGATAATACATATAACTTATCAAACATCTTAAAGATATTATTGTTTGGCTGATGAATGGATGTTATCACACAAATGTTATGTTTTTGTGACAATCGYTTTAAACAATCCATTACCTGTAATCAAATTAAATATATACTTATTATTGGTAATTAAAATTATTAAACATAAATGTCTTACCACTTGAGCAGCATTGCTGTCCAGACCACTGGTTGGCTCATCGATGCACAAGAGATTTGGTTTTATAGCAGATGTCAACTCCATTGCAATAATCAGACGTTTCTGTTGTCCTCCACTTAAACTATGGACTTGTGTTTCAATACAAGAACTAATGAGCAAATCATTCAAAATTTTATGTATATTTTTCTTGTGATCAAAATTTTGAACTACAGTTCCAATAAAAGCACTGTTTTTCAATAGTGAGGCATATTTCATGGTCTGACCAACTGTTAAGCCATAAGCTAAATGATCGCTTGYGTCTTGAGATATAAAACATGTCCTAATTTTTTGATATTTTGATAAATAAATTGTCGATTCGTTGTTTATACTTAATTCTTGAGTGTTGTTAATTGTTTTCAAAAGTGTTGTTTTTCCGGCTCCTGAGGCACCTAATAGTGCAGTCATTGATCCAAACTCAAGAAAACCATTCAAATTGTTTAAAATATATTTTTCAGGAGTTAATAGAGATTTCTTTTTAATTACAGTTAATGCCGACCAAGCAATGCATATCTTATTTTTGATAAATTCATGTTTTTTATTTATATCATCATTAATGGGAATTATGTTAATAGAAGGAACTTTCATAATGTTTAATGCAGTGATCTGTTTATAGTTTTGTTCAGTTAGATTGGGAACAGTTAGATGTTCTTTAAGAGATGGCTGACGACTAATATCATGACTCTTCCTCCACTTCTTAAGTGTACAACACTTAGAAATTATTGTGATATTTAGTGAAGGATTTGCAATTAATAATAACATAAAATAAGCCATAATTCTCAGTACAAACACATTTAATATGAGATAATTAAGATAATCCATAAACACTGAATCAGACAATTCATATTTTGTAAGAACTATAGATTGTTTTCCATTTGAACAACGATTGTATCCATAAATTGCAATTATAGCCATATTTGATGTCCATTTTGTTAATGAAAATTCACTTATATATTGCAATATTGGAAGCATTTGTTTAATTGGTATAAAAATGTTAGCAAAACATGATATAATACTATAGTATCCGATAGCAAATAAAATTGATATGTTTTGGAAATTGACAAAAATAACTCCAAATAAGTAGCCAATTGCCTGAATACATAACATACCTAATACTATAACAGTTGAATAAGACAACACTCGGTAATAATCCATTGGTTGAGAAGTCAAAAAATAGGTTAACAATGAAAAAATGATGGCATTTATTATTAATGGCACCGATTCTACAATAATTTTCGATATAAAATAACAACCTGTGCTATACCATCCTTTAAAGTAAATTAATTAAATAATAAAATGTTTTACTAGTTTTCAATAAACTTACTGTTTTGGTGTTCATTAAGAAATATATGAATTTCTGATGAAAATGCTAACGATGTGATGGTTAGTGGCATAAACATAATGATAACTGAATTAAGAAATATAAACTTAATATTTTGATGAAGCAATTCGTCCGATTCCAGTGTCCGAAAGCAACTACTATTGACATCCCATAGACTATCGTAACAGCCATCTGTACGACCGATACCACTGCTGAACAACTGACTCGTTATGAGTGCCGTTAATATATAAAAGACTGATTGAAGTAAAAGAGGTTTCCATTGACTCATATATGTATAGAGCATCGACCGCATCATTAGGTGCCACAAGTCTGCAAATGTGAAGCGTTTAGTCTTAATATCAATTCCATGGGGACTATAAACAAGATGGTCGGCGGCAGTGTTAAGCACATGGCGTTTGGCACCGATATTTTGATTTTGAATTAAACGTTGTATACAATCGTTGTTTTCATTAATCGACGATATATTAAGCAATAACTCGATGGCTGTTTGATCTTCCCGTCTATCGGTCAAAATTTCTTCGATACCGCATTGCATGAGCACAGGTTGTAGTTGTTTGGGTTGTCCCGAAAAAATACAATGACCACCAATACTCAGTACATAAAGCTTATCAAACATTTGGACAATTTCGTTGTTTGGCTGATGAATGCTGGCTATGATTGCAATGTTATGTAACTGTGATAATGACTTAAGACTTCTCATAATCTGCAATTAATAATTAAAAATGATTATCTTATTAGTTATTTTTAAAATTTATTTATTACAGTTTCCGCGGCTTCACTGTCCAAACCAGTTGTCGGTTCATCAATGCATAACAAGTTAGGCTTTACCAGAGATGTCATCTCTAAAGCAATTGTTACCCGTTTTTGTTCGCCACCACTACAGTCAATAACACGAGTGTCCATCACATGTGATAACAATAATTCTTGTAATATATTCGTCACATTCAAGTTGTGATCAATTTTTTCATTTTTCAAACTATTTTTTAATTTTGAGGCGTAAATCATATTTTGTTTGACAGTTAATCCCAGAATGAGGTAATCTTTTTCATTTTGGCCAATAAGACAATTATTGATACGTTGTTTACCGGAAACGTAAATCTTGCTGTCACTGGAAAGACCTGATTTATGTTTACCATTTAGACACCTTAATAGTGTAGTCTTTCCCGCACCAGACGGTCCCATTAGGGCCGTCAATGAGCCGAAATCAACTGATCCATTAACTCTGTCCAATAACGTCTTATTTTGTCTCAATATACCTGAGATTGAGTACTTGAGATCAATCCATGCAATCGCTGTCTTATGGGTAGACATTGGGTGTTGACTACTATATTAAACACTAAATATTTTGATAAGTTTGTCAGTTAAGACTAATTGAACTATATTTTTAATTTACAATTTGAATAACAATATTAAAGTTCATTGATATTTAGCAATATATTTAGTAATTAAAAATGTTATGTTAATAAAAATACTACTAAAAATTGTCATTTTTGTAAAAACATTTTTATTTCTAACTAATTTTAACTTCCTTTAAGTTTAATTTGATATTAACAAAAAATATTATACACTTGCAATAGAGTAAAAATGAAATACAGATTTTGAAAATATCTATTTAATATTTAGTTTTATAATTATTAACTTTTATTAGTTAATTCTTAATTAATATAATAATTGATAAACTATAAAAAAAAAGATTTAATAATACTTAAACTATATTTCATTAAAATTATGTTAAATTTTATTATTAAAAAAAATAAAAATAGAATATTTATACAAAAATTTATAATTAAATGAAAATATAGTTAAATTGTAGTTAAAACAAAAGTACATCATTTTACTGATAATTAGCGTCATATAGTGTCATATTTGAGGTCAATAACATTGGTTATCAATTTATATAAATAATATCATTTATTACATTTATATTATTATATATTTTAATTAATTAATTAATAAACTACCAAAATAATGAATTTGACAAATTATTATACTATAATAATAATTGTAATTACTTTACAATGCAAACTGTCATTTGGACTTCAGACCCGTAATCGTCCAAAACAGGGGACCACTGCGGCACCCGAAGACAAAGGTTGCAGTAAACGGGAATTTGACCGCAAAATGTCTAACGTTTTTGGTCAGTTCGGTCCCGAAGATTACTCTTTTCCGACGACTAGAGACGATCTTAAAGAATACTGTCGGTTAGTATAACATACTGTATATAAATGTTATAATTCATATGATCTTAATTTTCTATTAATATTCAGTGATGTCAAGGATGCGAAAGACTTGAGCATAAAATATAGCGACGACTGTCTGGAGGGCACATCACAGACACTATTATCTTTGGCTAATTACAACTTCGACAAAGTAAACAAACAGTATTGTAGCAAAAATGGCAAAAAGAAAAATGATTTYCTCAGTTGGGGAAAGTGTGGTAATGTGGCTCAGCCTAAATTGAGAACCTGTTGGAGTAAAATGATTAATGTATTGGCCGTTACCAACAAAGTCAGAAATGAAAAAAGCAAAGTACCCATCATTTGCTGGTATGTATGAGTTATTTATAATAATTTATAATAATTTTTATTATGAATGTAATTAAAACATAATATTATAATTAATTTATTTTAGTAATTATTATGAATGGGTTCGCTGTACAGTCAATTCACTTAAAGAGAAAGGTCTGTCTGTTTGTTCAAATGATGCCATCAATGGCTTTGAGTCTCACATAAGGAAATCATCGGTTGACTCAATGAATCTWATTTGCAGCAAATATGAAGACGACTCCACAAAATGCAGTTCTTTGATGAAGGAATTGCCGGACAGTAAACCCAAAAAACTATATAAAACTCCTTATTTGTATATTTTTGAAATTTTTAAAAATCTTAAATAAATAATATAATTCATCTAATAATTAATGAATAGTTTGTAAAATTGTCAATTAATTAGTAATATACACTTGATTGTAATAACTAAAAAATTAATAAATAAATTTTATTTATATTATAATTATAAATTTTTATTGTAACATTTATTTACATAACAAACTAATTTTTATTTATTTTAATTAAATTTAATTATACTTTAAACATAATATAAATTTATTTCGTTACTTTATTATGATTATCACTTTAATATTATGGTAATACAACTCAAAATAAATGTATAAATAGATTATTATTTAACTTATTATATGTTAGAATATTTCATTATTGTATTTATTATAAAAAATAAATTATATTATTATTTTTATTCTAGTTGTTGACACTTTTAAAATCAATGTACTATAAATATTAAATGCTTAGTTTTTTTTGTTAAAAAATTAGTTTTATAGTATTATTTTTCATTTATTGTATATTTCAATATTATATTTACGTAAAAAAATTTATTAAAAAAATATTTTAATATACACAAAAATTTATAATTAATTTAAAGAATGTAATAAGATTTTGTTTATTATTTTAATGTTTTTTTTAATAATATTTATTTCTATAATTTCTATATAAATATTTATAATTTAAGTTATAGTTTAAATTTGAGATAAAATTCAATCAATAATTTTTTCTGTTTTTCATTACACATATAATATGAACATTTATCCAATGGTTGTACAGAATCTGGATATTCAATGGCAAATGGTTTGTTACCTCCAAAGTCTTGAGGAATGACATCCATTTGGACAAACCGTTCAATTTCTGTCATTGAAATCAATTTTAAATTGTCTCTCATATTCTTCTTTAAGAACATTAAAAACAATTTGAAAAACGGTATGAAAGCGGACGGAAAGTTAATTACATAGCAATACTTCAAGAGTCCGGGATAGTAGGCAAACAAAATTTGATTGACTTGACGCACCTGTTCTCCATCATAATTGGCCAAACCTATGAAACTAAAGTCAGTGACCATAAGCATACCATTACTGGCTGACAGTATGTCTAGTTTTTCAATGTGATGTACAATGAATTGAATAATTAGTGGAAGTATTTCACGCGACGGCTTCTTAACGTTACGGCCAGAGTTCCACAATATATACCGGCCCTCACTGTCCGGTCCCGAGACTTGAGTCGAGTTAATCTCATATAACTCTTTAGGATAGTAGTCGTCATTTCTGTCGAGCAAACCGTAAGTCTTTCTCCATTTAAGAGCAGAAATTAACATTTTATATGCTTTGCTCTCATCATTGTCATCAATGGCTAACCGGAACCGTTGTATTTGCCAATTATCATTCAAAGCTCTCTCCACATCCATTGCATAATAATCTTCTGTATTTAACTCGTATTCATTTTTTAACTTTTTTCTTATATTATTGATTTCATTTAATTCACTATCATTTGACATTTTCATTAATTTTATTAAACTATAGTTAGTTTTTTATTAAATTAATTTAATTTATTTATAATATTAATTCATACTTAAAAATTTTATGTTCAATATTTATATTTAAACTTTTGACTGATCATTTACTTAATAATTTACATCATATAATAGATGTGGTATATGTGTGTTACAGGAATTTACAATTGTTAAAACTAATAGTTGTGTTATTGTAATTAAATAATATTTTTTAGTTGTAAACTATGTGACAGATTAACGTTTTTTAATAGCTAAAATTCATACACTAACGTTATAAATTTTTATGAATTGTGTAATTAATTGTCAAAATAGGTTGTTTCCGCTAATCTATTAATAGCAATAACCAGAGTCATCCAGCATTTATTGTACGATATATACTGTAATAAATAAATTATTAAAATATTAGATTTAATATGTTATGAAAAATAAATTATAATTATTCCTGGCTATGCAATCAAATACAGTTCGCAATTAACAGTATAGTTCGCAATTTATCAGTAAGTTTTCAATGATATATATAATTTATGTAAAATCTTTTCACTTTAACTCATCATATCGTAAATTAAAATGATTTTTAAATTAAAAAATATTAGACAAATGCTTCAAATGCTTGACAAATATAAACTATATAAACTATATATATAAATTGTTTAATAAATAATATTTAAAAATATATAAATTTATGTGTAAAATATATTAATTGATTTTATAAGTTGTAATATATATATAATTTTTAAAAATGTCATTTCATAGAGATTGTAGTCCACAGGCGCCGATTCATATGATTGTTTTTAATTACTTAAGTCATGTTATACTTGTTTTAATAGCCTTTGTAAATGAGTTGTTATATATAATTCAAACTAAATTATTTTCAAATAATTGTCAAAAATCTAGTGATGAAAATAAATATCCGCAACCATTGTATGATAGTTTTTATGGATTTTATTATCGCAATATTATTTGGAGATTTCTGGATAGACTGGCACATCCTATTTGCTCATTACCTGGTCATCACTTAACTGTTATGGATAGAAGTTTTGACAAATCAACAAAAAAATTTAGGTATGTTAGGTGTTTTGATTTTTATAAAATTAATTCTAATATTTATTTTTATAAAATTAATTCTAATATTTATTTTTATAAAATTAATTCTAATATTTATTTTTATAAAATTCATTCTAATATTTATTTTTATAAAATTCATTCTAATATTTATTTTTATAAAATTAATTCTAATATTTATTTTTATAAAATTAATTCTAATATTTATTTTTATAAAATTAATTCTAATATTTATTTTTATAAAATTAATTCTAATATTTATTTTTATAAAATTCATTCTAATATTTATTTTTATAAAATTCATTCTAATATTTATTTTTATAGAATTAATTCTAATATTTATTTTTATAAAATTAATTCTAATATTTATTTTTATAAAATTAATTCTAATATTTATTTTTATATAGTTTAACTGGTAAAACAATTAATGCAATTAATTTTGGTTCCTATAATTATTTGGGTTATGCTGATAATGACGGCCCGATCGCTGATTGTGTTGAAAATAAAATTCATCAGTTAGGTGTAGGTGTGTGCGGAACGGCCATTGAAATTGGTTTGTATTTTAGTTTTATTAAGTTTTTAAAATATTTACGTATTTAAAAAAATATTTAAAAATTTCACAACTAATTTGATTTAAATTATGTTTACAGGGAAACAACAAATACATAACGACTTGGAGTCATTAGTGGCTAAATATTTGGGAACAACTGATGCCTTAGTGTTCGGTATGGGTTTTGGTACAAATGCTTATACAATGTCTGCTTTGTTTGGCAAAGGATGTCTTGTTATGAGTGATCAATTAAATCACGCTTCCATAGCATTGGGTTGTCGTTTATCGGGTGCTAATATTGAGATATTTAAACACAATGATATGGTTGACTTAGAGCAAAAAGTAAGACACGCCATACTTACTGGACAACCGCATACAGGAAAGTCATGGAAAAAAATTATTGTTATTGTTGAGGGCATCTATTCAATGGAGGGAACAATTGTAAATTTACCGGAAATTTTACGTATCAAGAAAACATATAAACTATATGTTTATGTCGACGAAGCACACAGTATAGGAGCTATTGGTCCTCAAGGAAGAGGTGTTTGCGACTACTATGGCTGTAATCCTCGAGACATTGATATACTTATGGGTACTTTTACAAAGAGTTTTGCAGCTGCGGGAGGATATATGGCTGGCAATGAAAAGACGATCAGATACTTGCGCTCTAAGACAGCAGCCTATCATTATGGGACACTTATGGCAGCTCCTGTAGCTCAACAAATCATATCTGTTTTAAGTGAATTATATTACAATCAAAATCAATCACATGAACGACTCAAACGTATTCATGAAAATACTTTATATTTTCGTCAAAAACTTAAACAATTGGGATATCATTTGGACGGAAACGACGACTCACCAGTTGTACCGCTTATGGTTTATATGGAGTCATATCTTAAGTAACTATTGATTATATCTTACAAAAATAATTTAGTATATAATTAATTGTATTTGTAATCATTTGTAGATATCTTTTGATAAAATTAATGGAGTCGGGAATAGCAACAATAGGAGTGGCCTATCCGGTCACTTCATTAATTGGGGTCAGAATAAGACTTTGTGTCAGTGCCTCACATACCAGAGCTATGTTAGACAAGGCTATTGAAACTATCGATACAATTGGCTCACAATTGGCCGTAAATTTTAATAAAAGCAAAGTTTTAAAATAAAGCCATAACTTTGCTTATTGTAATTATGTATTATATTTAGTAAATTATTTGATACATTTAAATCAATATTTGTAAAAATTCATTATTTATTACATTTGTAATTAAGTTGTTAAAAATTAAAGTATATGATAAAAATCTAAATATTTTTTTATTTTAAATTAATTTAAATAAGTTTTAATTAATAAATTTTACAAATTTATTATCATCAATTTTTATTTTCTTTTATATAAAGGGGAAAAAGTTAAAATACAATTCAATTAATTAATTGCTTATTAAACAAAATAAATTTAAAAATAAATTTTTAATGAAATATTAATGAATGCCGCAAAATATTTTTTTATGTTTAAACTTTAATATATATATAAAACTTAATATAAATGTATTTACCTTATATATATGTATTTAGATAAATAAGAAAAATTAATTATTTTTTTTTGATTATATTGATTTTAAATAAAATAATAATTTGACATACTAAAAATTACCTTCAATCAATAATAAAAATGAGTATGTCAATTTAATTTAAAAGATAATGTAATAATAATTGTTCCCGGAATTGACCCAGAATATTTTCAAAAATATGTACTAATTTCTCTGTTTATTTCACAACAATTTGATTACATTAATAATAATAATGTTTAACGATTAGTAGGTTTTATAGTGATTACGTGATCAGATATAAGCCATGATATGATTATTCAAAATGGTTTGTCTGTTATTTGTCTAATAATCTGGTTTTCTGTGGTTTTATGGGATTAATAGTAAGCAAGAGTTATAACATTGAGACACGTCTTAAAAATATAAGTAAAACAATCAGTATTTCAGTGTTTTTATAGAAAACACTTTCGTTTACATCAAATAAATACWATATGAATGACAACTCTGTTTCCGAACATTTTGTCGAACCCATAGAACCAAACCATAAGACACTCGAAAACAAATTTGTTTGGGATTTAATTGACTTAACATTTGTAAACTATAGTCAAATTAAACAATAAATATATGACAAACACATCAATATATATACTGTATGAACACTGACACACCTAATCTAATCTAATATTACAGTCAATTAAATAGTGTTTTAATTTTTGTTGTACTGTAGACCGGCATCATGTATGATACAGCCATTAATCTACTAATTTATCAATAAACTAATTAATTAATTAATACTACAAACTTATCTAAAACTTTATATAATGTTAGTACATATTATTTATAAATTAATTCTAATAACATATTTAAATTTAGTTAAATATTATTAAAAAGTTAGTTTTTAATTAAATTATGTGTTTTATAATTTGTCTAAAGTAACAAAAGTATTCATTAATTCAAAATTATTATCTGACAATATAATTACTTAATTATAATATAATTGTTATACCGGTATCAATACTGTATATAAATTATATATTTTTATAAGATTATATAAGATTTATAAAAATATTATTATTAACTAATTTGTTAAAATAAGTTGAAAATTACGTTAAAAATATCAACTTAAATACTAATATATCTTATTTATAATTAATAAATTATTAATAATAATAAGACACTTTAAATTACTTTTTAATCTTTAACTTTTCATATAATACCTGTAGATTGCATTTGGCAAAGTACTTGAAAAATACAGTCAAATTACATTAATAAATGAAAAAGTAACAAAAAAAATATTTATTTACTGTAATTGTTTATCAAATATTAATGATAATAATATAAGAATTTGATTGTAATATATAACACAAATGCGAAGGTCGTGTAAATTTCAAGGTCTCATAACTTTACAAAATAATTAATATTTTAAATGCTGACAAAAATAGTAATATTTTAGTAAATTATTTTGTTGTTGTTGTTATAATTTTATTAAAAATTATTTCTGTAATAAAATGAATAAATTATCAATAATAACGGATTTATCGCCATCACTACAATTTACAATTATATTTACTATTATGTCTTTCATGGCATTTATAAATGAATCACTTAATCACTGGCTATCAATTGTAAGCAAAACTATATTAATAGGGATTATATCCTATTTGCTGACCCTTTATATTAGAAAATATCGTAATAAAGTGTTTATCATTACTAAAGGCAAAGCTGTCTTAATAACAGGTTTGATATTTTTTATTTGTTTAAATTAATTTATAGTTTTATGTAACTTTAGCAATGTAGTTTAATAACAGTATTTTATTTTAAAAATTCACTGATTTTTGACAATGTTAATAAATAAATAAATAATTATATTAAAATAAACATTACATTATGAATCTATAAATGTTTTATATTATTATAACTTATACTGTATTATAATTAAATTGTATAATAGATTAGTTAAAATTATTTATTAATTTACATAAAATGATATAATATTTGATGCAATTAAGGTTGTGATACTGGTTTTGGTAATAAAATAGCGCTTAAACTAAATCGAAACGGCTTTAGAGTATACGCTACCGTATTGTCCGTATCAAGTAATGGTGCGAAACAATTATCTACAAATTGTGCATTTAATAACAAAATGCATATTTTGGATATGGATGTAACCAATGATGCAAACGTTTTGAACACTTACAAACACATAAAAAAAGATTTACAAACACATGGGGATCAATTGTGGGCAGTCATCAACAATGCCGGACTTTTCAGTTGCGGACATCTAGAGTGGGGAACATTGGATACTTTTCATAAGGTATTTGCAGTCAACGTATTTGGTATGATTCGGGTCACCCGTACATTCCTACCACTTATTAAAGTGTCAAAAGGTATGTATTATTAGTTATGTACCAAAAAAAATACCAAATAAAAAGTTAAATTATATAATTTATATAACATATTATTAGGTCGTGTGATAAATATGGTGAGTTTGGCCGGAAGGTTCACATTTGATTTGGGAGGCATTTATTGTATGACAAAACACGCGTGCATTGCATTTTGTGATACACTAAGACGTGAAATGCATAAATTTGGTGTAAAAGTCATTACTATTGAACCGGGACTCTTCAGGACACCCATGACTAATGAAAAATATATATCGGATTTGTTGATCAACACTTGGAACCAATCCAGTGATACCGTTAAAAAATCTTATGGAGAGTCATATTTGAATCTCCAGAAGGAAGTGGCGCTCGACTTTCACAATCGTTTTAAGGCCGGCAGTGATATCGGTTTAGTGGTCGACGATACGGTCGATGCCGTACTCAATAGTGAGCCGCAAATTATGTACCGACCCATTGAAGGCATACAAAGTAAAGTATTGACTTTACTTCCCGCATATATACCATCTAAATGGTTGGATCTAATAGTCTTTGCAAAAGACAAGTCTAAACCCGAAAATATTTATGACTGAAATTATATCAGTAGATAATATTAAAACTAATTTTTTATTTATATTAATATTTCTTTGATATGTATCCATACTATATTTCATATGACGTTATATGTTTAAATAATTAAAAAAATTAATATTTGTGTTAAATTTAACTAATTTAATATGAAATATACTCTACATTAATATTGTACAATAAATACTAATAATCTAAGCATACCTGTATGGTTGAAATGATTTCAAATAAATGTTTTTAATGGCAGGTAATTCAATCTTATTAAAGCAAACTTTAGATAACATTTTAATTTAATTAATTATAATTACAAATATAATACATTATTATTTATTATTATCATTTTTACTTTAATCAATTTACATTTTAAGAAAGTATTTAAGATTATTTGTGATATAGATATTTCAAAATTAGTTATATTCAATCATTATAGAGTCTATAATATAGATTATAATTTATAGTAATCAGTGTTGGCAAAGACAAAGTGTATGTATAATACAGTATAATACAATGTAAATTACATGACAATTTTGGCTTACAAAAAAATTTTAGCGCCACCTAGTAACAAAAATACAAAAATTCACAAACAAACACATGTTTTGTAATAATAATTATTTTTTTATTTAAAAAAAAATTTGAAATTAATTATTCAATTTAATTCTGGTATTGAAATATATTAATAAAATAATTAATATTAATTTTTAATAGTTTTAGAAAACAACGATTCTAATAACGATATTGAAATTATGTAATAATAATAATTTTAATAAAAAAATATTTATCATAACATTTTTTGTTAATATGTACTTCATTGCACTTTTAATACAATAATAATATTAAATATGTAATAAACATTAGATATACGATATCCTATTATAACATTTAATAATTCTTTAATTAAACATAAATTTCATATTAGCCTTACTTACAGTATATAAATAGTCATTTTCAATATTATACTGTATATTAAATTTTGGATTGTTATGTATGTAATTATAATGACCATGGTCATTACTAAATATTTACTGTAATATATGTTTTACGAATTAAACTTCAATACTGTATGCCTTTGGGTAAAACAATATTTTTCACGAACTCCTGAAAGGAGTACATACTGTATCTGAATTCTATATTTCCGTCCGTCCGTCCGTCAGTCTGTCCGCATTTAATTTAATTTTGAAATTTTGACTTCATATTTGGATTAAGCATAAAAAATAAGGTATAGGGGATTAGTATACAAATTTTTATAACTAGGTACATAGATAAAATGGCGGACAAAGTTCAAGATAAATTAATTTAATATTTAAAGCTTAGATTTGGATAAAGCATAAAAATGAGTTAGCAAATGGAATTAGCATATAATACTAATTTTTATATCTTCAAGAACATAAAAAATGACGGTTAAATTAATACTTTTTAAATTTAACATAAAATTTAAAGTATCATAACTTCTTTGTTATTTTATGTCATATATGACTAAAGTTGAGTTTATTATGTCTTACTTAATCATTTGATACCATATATGACAAGAGTTGAGTTTATTTTGTTATACTGAGTCATTTGATTTTAATTAAAAAATTTACTTTGGATAAGGAGTTCGTATGGAAATGCTATCTAGCATTCTCAACTGGTTAAAAATATCTTTTGATATTAATTTAATAATTATCAAAATATACTCTACAGTACTATCAAGGTCTTAAAATGACTGTTTATTTGACTGTAAACATAACATGAAAATATCTAATACTTTTTACTATTCAATAGTTTAGTAATAAATATATATCTAATTTAACTAATATTTAATTAACATAAATTTACTGTAATTTTAAATATAATTTTAACTAAATTTAGTAAATAATTGTAATTATAATTTGTGAGATAATACTGTAGATCATATAAAATAATAAAATTCTAAGTATTGTTATTATAATAACATTATGAATAAAGTGTTTCGTAAACTATCGGTAACTAAATTGACGGCCAATTTTGCCGAAGCTGTCAAAATAGTGACCCAACCATTGCAAGAGCCGGCAGCTAATGAGGTGCTGATAAAAAATATCTACGCCGGTGTCAATGCATCCGATGTCAACATAACTGCCGGCAGATATTTCACTGACGCTAAAGTACCGTTTGATGTCGGCTTTGAGGTATTGGTCATTGTTTTGTAATAACAAATATTGTGTCCATTTTTTACTGATTAGGGACTGGGAGTGATTGCTGCTGTCGGCAAAAATGTCAAACGATATAATGTGGGTCAGCCCACACTCTATTTAGAGACCAAAGCATATTCAGAATATGTGGTAATAACTAATATTATCTAAATTTATTTATAATTAAGTTTTATATTTTTTGAATGCTATGCATATAAATTAATATAATATATATTATTATACTTTAATTGAATAGTACGCTAAACCAGATAATGTAATACCAATACCTGAATTAAAACCAAAATATCTGACATCACTTGTCAGTGGACTTACCGCTAGTATAGCACTTGATMGGGTATGATATATATATATATATATATATATATATTATATACAGTAAATTAAACAATTATATATATTTGTGAAAAAGTCGGGTCATATTAAAAAAGGCGAAACAGTTCTAATAACAGCAGCCGCCGGTGGGACAGGTATTGTGGAAAATAAAGTTATTTACTATTAAAAGTTTTATGAATAAACACTATAACAATACAGTATTATAGGTCATATTTGTGTCCAATGGGCCAAATCGAAAGGTTGTCATGTGATCGGAACGACATCATCGCCAGAAAAGGTACGACTTTTGCAGGACATTGGATGCGATCGTGTAATCGATTACAAGAAGGAAAATCTGAGTCATGTCCTTAAAAATGAATATCCGGTTTGTTTGCAAATATTTTTAAAGTAATACTGTATTCACATAAATATTGATAATTATATATTGATTGCGAAGAAAGGTATTGATGTTATTTGGGAATCAATTGGAGGAGAAATATTCAATACATTAGTAAAACATTTAAAAATTAAAGGAAGACTTATAGTAATCGGTAGTATAAGTGGTTACATAAGCGGCGGATCCAATATAGACACCAATATAACACAACTAACTAATAGAGTAAATGCTTATAATTTTTATTATTTTAATTTTTTTTGCTGATAATTATTTATAATATATAATAATTTTTTAGTTAATAATGAAATCAAACTCATTAAATGGCTTTCTATTGACACAATTTACTGAAGATTTTCCACAATATCTACCAAAATTGATGACAATGTTAGCCAATAATGAATTGAAGTCAATATTAGATTTTGGTGACAACTCTAGTGACGGACAGTTTGCTGGCATTGAGTCTGTTATGAGGGCTGTCGAGGTATGCTTTGATATTTCTATTGTTATATAATATTTGTACTAATTTTATATACTGTACTATACATGTATAACATTTGTATTGTATTGTTGTATAATTTCAATTAGCATTTGCATAGTGGAAAAAGCACCGGAAAAGTAGTCGTTAAGATACAGGAGCCGTAAAAATGACTGAAAAGTACATTTGAGAACTTATTTTGATATATTAGACAACAAAATATTGAATTCACATTTTTTACTAATAAAATTTGCTTATATCTTAAAAATAGATAACACAAACTTTTATAATTTAATAAAAAAAACTTGCAAATGGCATATACTGTATTAAATGTCAATGTATTTTGTATGTATTGTATGATAAAACAACATAATTTATGTAATTGAAAACAAAAATAGTTATTTTTGTTTCTATTTTCACGAATTCCTGAAAGGAATACGTATATGCATTCTAAAAGTCTGTCCGTCTGTCTGTCCGTTTTCTGTCTGTCCCACATAGATTAGTGGTTCGAATACTCTGCTACAAAATTTTTTTTGATTTTTTTTTATTTTATTTTTTTATAAAGCATAAAAAATGAGCTATGGGATAAGTATTGAAATTTTGATATTTCATCAGGAACATAGAGAAAATGGCGTCTAAAAATTAATTTTTTTTTTGTTTTTTTCACGAATTCCTGAAAGGAATACGTATATGCATTCTAAAAGTCTGTCCGTCTGTCCGTCTGTCCGTCTGTCCGTCTGTCCGTCTGTCCCACGAGGACATAGGTTCGAATCCAGGCTCCGCTACAAAATTTTTTTTTGGTTTTTTTCTTTTTTAAGTTAAGGAGATCGTATGAGAATGCTTTTGAAGCATTCTCAACTTGTTTTTTTTATTTTAAAAATTTTTTTTCCTTTTTAAGTTAAGGAATTCGTGTGGAAATGCTTTTAAAGCATTCTCAGCTGGTTTATAATGAAAGTACAATAATTGCTATTAAATTAATTTTAATCTCCAAATATTATACAAAATGAATAAGTATTTAAATTGAAAAGTTATAAATGATTGTACAATAAATTAAATTATTAATTTTTATATTTTTTAAACAAATTGAAAAGATATTTAGAATTAAATTAATAAAAGTTGATTTAAAATTATAAGAAAAATTTAAAGTTTTTTATTTTGTCTCTGTTTAGAGACAATAATTGTCAATCATTTTATGAATTATGAAATAGTTGTTTATTGAAATGCAATCATATTATACAGTATTATATTATTAATTTAAAGCACAAAYTACAGTTGTATACAAAATACCGGTATATAATAGAGTTGGGTTACTTTATTAGGGAGGGAAACTTCCTTATAAAATCCCTCTAATTTTCATGGAAAATATTTAAATATATATTAAATAGATTCCCATAAGAATTCCCAGGGAATGGGGAACATAAGGAACTTTTGGWTAATAAAACGAGGGAAGAAATCTGATCGAACCTTAATTATAAGTATATTGTAATACTGTATAACTTATGCTTATTGAAGGTCAATTCAGTGCTAAATACTGTATTTATAAGTTATAAATAATAATTATAATAATAAACAGTATTATTTGAAAAGTTACATTGATAACTTTTAGATTATACTAAATTTATAATAGATATACAATTTGTACTAACAATACACTTGATATAACCAATGAAAAACAGTTTAATTGATTACTCACTTGAAGTCACTTCACATTCAAATACATACATATATTACACGTATATCTTGTTTTATCTCCAGTTTTTGTGTAGACATTAATTTCAGTATAATATCTGAAATTTTATATAAACTTTAAAAATTTGAAGACTAATAAAAATATTTTTAAGTGAAACTTATAGCTAAACTATTGAATATATATATACAAAATATGTCAAAAACATTTAAAAAGTTATCTGTGGTTAAAAAGACGGCCAATTTTCGTGAAGCTGTCAAAGTGGTTGACGTACCGTTAGTTCCGCCAACTGATGAYCAAATCTTAGTGAAAGTGGTGTACGCGGGGGTCAACGCCACTGATATTAACATAACTGCTGCCCGTTATTTCACTGATGGGAAACTACCCTTTGATATTGGATTAGAGGTGCGATTCATATCTTATATTTTTATTAATATTTCTTAAATTAATTAAATACTAAAATAAAAATTAACTAAATGTTGAATTTTATTGATAGGCGTTGGGTCTTATAGAAGCTATTGGTAAAAATGTGTCCAACTTTAAGGTGGGACAACCAGTCGTTTCATTTGGTGTCACACCTAAAGCCTACAGTGAATATCTGGTATTGTTATATATATTGAATATATGATAATAATTTTAAAAAAAAAATTAATTGTGTAAAAGCTTAGTTTAAATTAATTGTATTTAATTCAAACAATTATAGTACGCAAAAGCAGATGAATTGGTTCCCATCCCTAGTATTAAACCAGAATTTCTTTCACTTTTTGTCTGTGGTTTAACAGCAACTACTGGTTTGGATGAGGTATTGATTTATTATTATTTATTTAAATTATTAATTTAACTAATATTTAATTTGATATTAAAATAATTTAATTAAAAGGCCGGTCGTATAAAATCGGGTGAAAAAGTATTGATAACAGCATCTGCCGGCGGAACCGGACATATAGCTGTTCAATGGGCTAAACAAAAGGGCTGTTATGTCATAGGAATGACATCATCTACAGAAAAGGCTAAACTACTCAAAGAATTGGGAACCGATCGAGTGATTAATTATAAGACTGAAAATTTAGACGAAGTGCTCACTAAAGAGTTTCCGGTTTGTAAACATTTGTATTATTTTTTATCATTTATTATAATTGTGTCAAAATTATCATCAGAATGGTATTGATGTGATTTGGGAGACAATCGGAGGTAAAACATATGAAACTCTGTTTAATCATTTGGCACCAAAAGGACGACTCGTTATTGTTGGCGGTATTACTGGTTATCAAACGGAAGGTTTTCTTGACATTCAAATACCAAATTTAAATACAAAAGTATTTCTTTTTATAACAAATAAAAAAATAATTAAAAATAATTTTTTATATAATTGATAGCTATTAATGGGTAATAAGAGTCTTACCGGATATATTTTGTCGGGATTTAACCATTTATTCCCTGAATATTTGACAAAATTAATTGGAGATGTGGTCAACAATAAGTTGAAAATTGTTATAGATTTGGGACAAAATACCACTGAAGGAGAATTTAAAGGCATTGATGGTGTGGTCAGAGGGGTTGAGGTATACTTTATATTGATTTTTATATTATTATTATTTCTAATCATTGTAATTAAATCCAGTAATTTTTATATATAAACAATTTGTTTAATCAATAATAATAATTAACATTTTGTTTAATCAATAGCACTTGCATTCGGGTCGCAATATTGGCAAAGTTATTATCAAAATACAAGATCACTAATCAATTTAAAACATCATTTAATTAGACATATATTATTAAATTTATTTGACAATCTTATAAATCACTTTTTAATAAATTTTATATTATTTTCTATCAAGTAATAAAATTTTTATATAAACAAATTCATGTTTTATTATTGCATAGATGTAAAGCGGTTAAGGCAAACCTCCCGAACCCCCAGTGGGTTATAATTGGAGAGGTTTGAACTGCTTGTTAGGGGAACTCAGATGTTTGGCCGATCGGTATCTCAACACAAGACAGTAATCAAACAACAAAACTATTTATTATTATTAACTTAAACACAATATTATCATCGGCTCGGCTATACTGTAGGCCTGCCGTGACTTAACATAACTAAGCGACTAAAATGCTTAAATTACTTATAAAATATTAAGCATTAAATTATATTCAAAACTAATGGAAAATACCTAAAATATATATACAATGTTATAGTTTAAACTTTTGACTCTAAAATATTATACAAAAATATCATAAACTTGTAGTCAAAGCTAACAATCCGTTACAGATGTATAAAAAATTATTATTAGGATATATTAAATAATACAACTGTAATAATAGTATTAAAAAGCATTTATTCGTAAAATTATCTATTTTACTCAAAAAGTTGTTACTATAAAATATTTTATAATAATTTATTTTATTAACAATTAAATTATGTTAACTCAACAAAAGCACATATGATTACCGAAAGTATTGTATTAAAAGATATATTATAGCAGTTATACATAGCTTTAATTTTTTTACTAAATTCAACTCCAATTATATATTATAGATTCTATATAATAATAATATAGAAGTTATCATTGATTATAATGTAAATTAAATTATATTTGCTGTTTACTATTATACTGTATAACAGATACCACAATTAAAACGCAATTAATGTTATGATGTTTTAATTTAATAGAGATGTAGTGATAAAAAAATCATTTTAAGATTTATTATAACCGGTAAATCTCAGACGTGTTATATAAGTTTCATAAAGCAATAGATAATATATTATACAATTTAGAGAGACTTAAACAGCGGCGGCGGCGATGCGGCGGCGATGCTATTAATTACAATTATCTGGTCAACAATAAATTTGATTAAAAAGTGACCAAGGGCAATGTTGTAGAAAATTTTAAACTGAATAAAATTGTAATTGGTCATTTTTAAATTAATTGTATGATTGGCCAGATAATTTATATTCGACTGTTTAAAAAATTTATAAATGATAGTCGACTGCAATTATCTGGCCAATCATATAATTAATTAAAAAATGACCAATTACAATTTTATTCAGTTTAAAATTATCTACAACATTACCATTGGTCACTTTTTAATCAAATTTATTGTTGACCAGATAATTTTAATTAATAGCGCCGCCGCTGTTTAAGACTCTCTGTACAATTTATATACTGTATATTACAATTCGAAACTGTTAACTGACTAAATTCAAATAATAAAATAAAAATAAATTGAGTAAATTAAAGTTACATTGATTAATTTAATTTAAACTATTATTAATATTTCTAATTTTAAATTAGTTAAGTACTAAATTAGTACATTTTTAGTATTTTTTTTAATTTACTGATAAAAGTTTATTTATTAATAATAATGAACTAATACTACAAAATGCATAAGTTTTATAATAAAATTTAGATTATTTCCATTGACAATAAATTGCAATATAYCGATACATACATTAAATATTTATATAAATACTATTCGTATAAATTTAATAAAAGTGTGAAACAAATATTTTATAGACATTTTCAATAATATTTTGTAAAAAATTAATTTTTTCAATTATACATACATTATGTCAAAGACATTTAAAAAGTTGTCTGTCGTTAACTTAAGTCCTAACTTTCGTGAATCGGTCGCTAAAGTATTGGCACCGTTAGTACAGCCAACTGATGACCAGATATTAATGAAAGTATTTTACGTTGGGGTCAATGCCGCCGATGTTTTGATAACTGATGGTTTTGCTTTCAGTAGTGATAAATTACCGTTTGATTGTGGAATGGAAGTATGATTTATATTTTATTTTTTAATCAATTTTATAATTTATCAATTTATTTATCAATACAATATTAAGCAAACTAAAAATCATTTATCTGTACTAATATAATAATTAATATAAATTCTGATTAAAATTATTTTAAAAATTATTACATTTTTATAATAATTCAAATATATAATAATATAGTTTAAATGAATTAAACAAATCTAATAAATTGTATTTTAATTATCAGGCATTAGGTGTAATAGAGGCGATCGGTAAAAATGTGATYAATTTCAATGTGGGACAATCAGTAGTGGCATATASTATAACACCAAAAGCATATTCTGAATATTTGGTAATTTTACTAATAGTTAAATTGTTTTAAATACTGTTTGTTAAATGTTTGTCTGAAAATTCATTTAATAGTATATAAGTGCCGATGAAGTACATCCCGTTCCGAGTATTAAACCAGAATTTCTTTCACTTTTTGCTTGTGGTTTGACAGCAGCTATTGGTTTGGATGAGGTATTGATTTATTATTATTTATTTAAATTATTAATTTAACTAATATTTAATTTGATATTAAAATAATTTAATTAAAAGGCCGGTCGTATAAAATCGGGTGAAAAAGTATTGATAACAGCATCTGCCGGCGGAACCGGACATATAGCTGTTCAATGGGCTAAACAAAAGGGCTGTTATGTCATAGGAATGACATCATCTACAGAAAAGGCTAAACTACTCAAAGAATTGGGAACCGATCGAGTGATTAATTATAAGACTGAAAATTTAGACGAAGTGCTCACTAAAGAGTTTCCGGTTTGTAAACATTTGTCTTATTTTTTATCATTTATTATAATTGTGTCAAAATTATCATCAGAATGGTATTGATGTGATTTGGGAGACAATCGGAGGTAAAACATATGAAACACTGTTTAATCATTTGGCACCAAAAGGACGACTCGTTATTGTTGGCAGTATTAGTGGTTATCAAAGTGATGATCATATTTCTGACATTCAAATTAATAATTTAAATACAAAGGTATTTCTAACATCATTTAAAAAATTAATATAAATTGTAAGTAATTTTTTTATAGTTAATGTTTGGAAACAAAAGTCTTGTTGGATTTGGACAGTTAGCATATATTGATTTGTTACCCAAATATCTAAAACAATTAATTGAAGACATAATGAATAATAAACTGAAAACTATTATAGATTTAGGTTATAATGATTCTGACGGAGAATTTTTTGGTTTGGATGGAGTAGTCCGAGGGGTTGAGGTATTCATTAGTTTTGCATTATTTTTATAATTTTAATAATAATTTGTTTATATATTATAGTATTTGCTTTCGGGTCGTAATATTGGTAAAGTTGTTGTCAAAATTCAAAATTATTAAATTATAAAATTTTTATGATTTTCATATATACTGTATAACACTTAACATTTACTGTATGAGTATTATAAATAAAAGTTACTGTATATCCATAAAATATCCAATATAAATATTGTAATATCTTGTCTTTATTATATTTTATTTTAACGAAATAATTATGTTAATTTTAATTGTAATAATTATTATTTAATTATTTTATATCTAAGTTAATGTTTTTACCTTAAAGCTCAAAGATTTAAATTATAGTTAATTAAAGTACATTTGAACATTATAGTTATTATAGTTATTTATTTATCACATTTATAAATAGTTAATTATGCATTTGTAATATAATTATATATTTAAATTTTTATTTATTTATTTTATCGATGTATCAAAAAGTATATAAAATTCATGATTACATATAAAGTATGTATTTTCTTACTTTTATTTGACATCAGTTTAATTTAACAAATATATCAATAAAATTATATCAATTAATCGTAATTTCAATAATCAATTATAATTTATGTCTAATTATTTCTTAACAATTATAATGTATTTGTTTTCAACATATATCTGATATTTTTTATTTAATTAGACGACTCATTGATATTTCAATATACTTATGATTATATCATATAAATTAAATCTAATAACTTATATCTAATAATATTAAATTATATAAATGATTATCTGATAAATTGAATCAATTGTTTATTTAAATTAAAGATAAAACCAATTGATGTCATAAATACAGTCATTTCCTTTAAATATGATAAGCATTTAGTTTAGGTGTTGTCGTACAGACACTCACTGACCGAATGATACTATAATATACTGTAATAATAAACTCTATATACTAGGGTTGGAAAAATACAAGGTTTTCAATTTTGGTTTCTATAATACAGTATAATATAGTACTGTATAATGCAATGTATTGCACGTGCATATGTATTATACATTTTTAAAAACAAATATATATTAAAATAATTAAATTAAATCAAAAATATGTTAAAAAGTTTATAAAAGTTATTTAATGTTAATATAATTGTTTAAAACTTTTTTGTAAAAATAATACCAAATCTATATGTATTATAAAACATATCTATTTTTGATATTAGGTGATGCTAACTTTCGTATTGTATGGCAAATTTGATAAGGTATTATACATTGTATTATACGGTACAGTATAATACACTTTGTTTTATACAAACAGTTTGTTTCTGTCAACACTAATATCATTTAATTGTTTGCCAAATGTAAGATTGATTGTCTATAATGTTATTTCAATGCAAACAATACATACAATAATAATAAAAGCATTGATATTAAAGACAACAATTGATTGCTATTTGACAAGTGATTCATTGATTGATTGATTGATTGATTGAATGTCTAATTATGTTTCAAATGCTTATCGATGTTAAACATAATATCATATTATAATAAACTGTAATAACATATCATTTGTGAGACACGAGTGTCACTGAAGTCAAAGTTTGGGTTAAAATTTAATATCAAATCATTTGATTGATTGATTGATTGATTGATTGATTGATTGATTGATTGATTGATTCGTACGAATGCTTAACAAAATAATGAGTGGAAACGGAAATCAAATGATTAGAACATTTTGAATGTAATGTTATTAATGAATGATTAATGAGTTGATTGAATGCAAGTCATTATATGACTCATCGGTCACTCAAATCGTCTGACATTTTGTAAAATCGTTTGGTTTTTGAAGACATTAATAAAGACATGAATTTGTGGCCAAATTCATTGAATTCAATCAATTCAATGAATGGTTATATGAGTAACGATTCAAATGATTTACCGGACAATATAAGTGGACCGAGAAGTCCGCTTTCGTCGGTAACGTCACCCAAACCTTCAGAGACAGAATTGTTGTGCGAAGTATGTGAAGACGTGTCCAGTGGTCGACATTACGGCGCCGTCACCTGCGAGGGATGCAAAGGATTCTTCAGACGTATCATATGTTTTAAAAATGAGAACTCATATGTGTGTATAGGACAGGGAGGACAGGAAGACGGACTAAACCGCTGCCATATCTCCAATGACGCCAATCGACGAAAATGTTGTAAATATTGTCGTTTCCAGAAATGTCTTGCAGTTGGTATGCGTCGCGAACTGTGCGTCAAAGTCGAAGGTTATGGCGAACGACATACTGATGATGACGACCAAAGCGATGCCGAGTTTACTGCAGAACAGTTGGAACAATTCAGACAAGAAGTGGACAAAAGTTATGAGTTATTTATGAAACGCGATTATATTATGCCTGAAGAAAATCTGACCTTAACTTTGAATAAACTTCGGATGCAATTAGAGATTGACATCCAATCATTTGTGTCTAATATTCAACAATTTCGTGATCTTAGTTCACAATTGCAGAACAAACTCATAATGGAAGCGATGAATGAAGTGTTAGTATTGATGATCTACATCAAGAACAAGAGGTACCAAATATTAAGTGATTTTTGTTTATTTGTTTGATTTCAGTTAACTTATCTTATATTAAGTTTAGACCAAATTAGGCTATTGTTTTGAATAATAAATTAATGACATATAAGTACCGGTAATATGAAGTTTATTGATAGTGTAATTAGAGTTTATTTATTTGATATGTAGTATCGTATACTATATTAAATTTATATAAAGTTATACTATATTATTATTATTATTATTATCTTATATGAAAAAACAACTTATAYTGTAATATATAGTATTAATTTTGAATTGATTGTATATCCCAATAGATATTTCAATATAATAATAGCGAATAATCTATATTTTGGTGATCAAAATTTGGACCAAATATTTAAGTCAATAATTGCAACGATAACCGAATTGTGTAAATCATGGATTGTGACGAACGGCGCTAATAACTCATTGCACCAAATGTTTGAAGGCTTATACTTATTGATTATACTAAACACCAATCGTTGCGATCAAAATATTGACAATAAAATCGATACAATTAGAGAAAGAGTTTATAGTGCTTACCGTTTCAATGGGGATCAAACTGTTGCTAAAGTAAGTCAAACTCTGGCATTATTAACAAAAATGGGTGAATTGTTTTTCAATTACAATTGGTTCTGAATTGATTAACATTTAATTAGTGAAAACAACAGTTTTTTTAAATTTTATATCTATAAAAATATAACATAATATAATAATTTGATTATAATCTTAATTTTTATTAGATATTAAATTTACATAAAAAATATTTAAAAATATATAATTTGTTATAATTGAAAAAGTTTATTTTTTGTTAATTAAATTGCAAATTTTATTATAATATGAATGATATTTTCAACGTTACAGCATATAATTAATTTTCAGAAAAAATTAGGAAATTTTCAAAAAAATATTTCTGACGCAAAATTGCTTATAAAAATTAGTATTTATAATCAAAACGTAAATATACCGGTATATAAAATTTATGTAAATATTGTAATTTATAAGTAAAACTGTATTATGCTTTATTTTATAAAAATTGATACCTTTCTAATAATTTATATAATAGATTGAAAACAATAAAATATAATATAAATTATCCTAATATGTAAGTTTTTATTTAACATTATTTTTTGTTTTATTTATAATTGTAATTATAAAATAAAATATTACTAATAAAAAACCAGCATCATAAACTACATAAAAATGCAATTATTGATGTCTAAATGAGATGATCATGGTAATTAATTTAATTTTTATATAAACAGATAATGGTAATATTATGTTTACATATAAAATGTATATATATATATATATATATATATATGTATGCTTGGTTAACTTAAATAACATAATTTAAATGATACAATATTAGTAAGCATTGATTGCAATGTAACATAATATGTTTGAATATTATTTGTTTAAATATAGAAAATATTAATATAAAACAATGCAGTTTAAAATAGACGACATTAATATAGTTAAAGCAATAATTATATATAAGAATACAATTACTGTATAAGTATTGTTAATAATAATAATAATGTAATGGACTGTCAATTGGGTCGATGTGACCACAAAATCAATATATATTGACTGAAAAATAGCATAAAAATGGTTTACCTTTTTGTTTGTGTCTTTCACTTACAATTGTTTTCAATAGTCAACTCATGTAATGTTTTTCACACTACCATTAATGCCATTAATAATTTCCATTACATTTTCTTCATTCTAACAGTTAATTCAAATTAATTGAAAATATAACAATAAATATTATGAAAAAACATTAATCGGATTAATTGAATAAATGCTACAAATATTACTTCTTAATTTATAGTGTAGTACACACTATATATTAATTAATATTAACTTATAAAATAAATTTTTGCTATTCACATAACTCAATCAATAATTAATATACTAATGAAAATTTAATTAAATGTATAATTTTTCTAAGCAAACTAAAAGATTGAAACAAATTTAATAATTATTTAAAAGCTATTAGATATGTGATTGTTGCTAAAATATATAGAATAAACTTTTACAACATTGACAATAGGATAATAAATTGTCAAAATACTAATACCGGTAATTTAAACATTTTAAAATTTAGTTTACAAAAATAATTTAACTAATAATTTTAATAAACAAAACAAACCTTTTTTTCATTGATTATGTTTTCTTCATTATTATTATTATTATTGACATAATTTAAGTCATTTGTATTATCATTATTATCGTCTGTATTATTATCGCTATCAATATTGTCATTATTGTTAACAGAGTTATTGTTTGATAAAAACTTTTGGTTATAATTATGTGCTTTTTGTTTCCTCTCTTCTAATAATTCGTTGCGTTTTTCCTCTGCCCTCAACTGTTTGTCCGATAATTGTTTTGCTGTCATCTGATGTGTCGGTTGTTCCGCAAGTGTTAGCAGTCGTTTTGGTAGTAATTTCAACGGCTCTTTAGTTGTCTCAGTAATTGCTTCCGTAGAGTGGGTGTCAAGCGGTATGTCAAACGCCACAGGTTTAGGAACTATATATACATATATAAAATATATAAAAAATAAATTGTAAATTATAAATTAATACAAAATCAATGCATACGGGATTCGGTAGATATATTAAATGTTTTGCGAGCCCTCGTCAATAGCCCGGAGCGAGCGGGAGGTAAGTCTTTTGGTATTTTCTCTTTAATAAATTCACCTAATATTTGATATATATATATATATGTATATATATATGATACTTGTTTAAAATAGCGATTTATATCTAATTTAGTGTATGATTATTTTTAAATTAGATACATTAAATTGAAATATTTTTTTCAAAAAAAATATTAGACATATTTCTATTTATGTATTTCATAACCTGGAATCTGACTGTTAAGTTTGTGATTATATGTATTATCAATGATAATTTATCATACTAAACAATCATATAACAATTTTATTTTTATAATTTATATATAAAATTTTAAAGCTTTTATTTACTTTATATGTATAATTATTTAGTTGAAAGTTATAATAAGATAATCATTTTAAAAATATAATATTATACATCACAATCTTATTATTTTCATTTCATGACAACTACTTTATAAGCTGATTATAAAATTTAAAAATAACAATAATGTTGTAAAAAAGTAATATAAAATTAAATTATGAAAATAGATTTATTACAGTATTAGATAATGTGTTTTCAATATATTAATAAATTAATTAAAAATAATAATTAACTCAAACCTGGAGTCATAGGTCGGGACATCCGTCGCTGAGTGACTGCCGATCCGTTTGTGGCATTTGTAACATCACTTTTAATGACATAATTTGTTGGGAACTTATTATCACTATCTTTAACATCACTTTCATTGCTAACATTGGTATTATCATCAATAGTCTGGACTGCTTTAGCCGCTCCACAACCCATTAATATCAGTATTATTGTATATACAATATGAATGATATGAATGAATACAGTATCAACACTTGTTTTCACTTATCAAAAACAAATGTAATATTTTTTAAATAATCATATCAATAGTTTTAAATCATAGTAATTTTATTATACTTTTCAAATTTCAATACTATTTTATATTTACAATCATTAATAATGATTAACAATGCAATCAAGTAATTTAAAGAATATTCTGTTAATTCATATGAATTTCTATATCAAATTCTAAGAAAATGAAAATTTTACTAAAAAATAATGTATTCGTTTGTGAATATATATACCATTAATATACTTTATATATATATATATATATAAAACACAATAATCTATTAATACTGTAGAAATTAAAAATGAATTCTTTTTTATTAAAATAAAAAGTCTTTAATAAAAATTTTTAAAAATTTGTTTTAAAGATAAAATGGCCATTTTAATAAATATGTTACAAATCATAAATTTTTAATTTAATTATTATTTATATGATTTCATCATAAATTATCACAATTTAGTTACCATTTATATTGACACAAAAAATTATTAGTCAAAAATTAATAAGATTTAATTAACTCTTTAAAGACGATAAATAGTCAATAACATGAGATAAATGTTTAGCGATAATTAAGTTTTAAATAAAAGTTAAAAATCTAATTTTTTTATGTCCTCTATTAGTATATTCATTTACTATTATCATTGTTTTAGATTATGTCATAAATTAGTAAAAAATACTTATAAAAAATAATAACATAAGCTGAATTAAATGAAATATATTTTAATTTTATTTATATGTTTCTTGAAGTAAGATAAAATAAATTTTTTGTATAAGATATAAATGGATAAAACTCTAAATATGATTAATAAAAAATAAAATAATGGCAATTAATCATCAAATAACTATTAAAAATATTTATTGTAACATTCAATGTACTAATCTATAAATGATTTTATAAACTTTTATCAAAATATCATATTGATTTTTTATTGTTAGCAAAATATCATTTGATTTTAATTATTGTCTATATAAATTATAGCATTTATTTATATAAAAAACTAAAAAACTTTAAAAATAAAAATGATAATTCATAAATAATATTAATATATAATAATGTTTTTAATACAACCAATTGATTAAAAATCTCAATATAAAAAGTCTAATAAACAAAAAATTCTAAGTTTACCCTAAAATATGTTGTCGTGGTTACAGATTTAGCATTTTATATGTGACACAAAAAATATTAGTCAAATAATTATCAACAGTATATTGCCTTTACTATACTCCTCCTATAAAACAACTCATATATGTTTAATGGATAAAACTTAATGGAAATAACTATTAATATTGTCTCACAGTTTATGTCAAAATATCAATTGATTTGTTATTGTTGTTGTTGTCTGATATAAATTATAGCATTTATTTATATCGACTTAAAAACTTTAATTCATAAATAATATTAATATAATAATAATGTTTTTAATACAACCAATTGATTCTCATTGAAACTAAAAACAAATGTCTAATAGACTATTAGTAATAGTTAATGTTAATCTAATGTCTGGTACATTAGCTCTAACGTTATATAAAATTATTAATTAACTTATATTTTATTATTAAGCAAAATAAATATAATTATAAAATTATATTTTTTATTTATAAATATAATTATAAAATTATATTTTTTATTTATAAATATAATTATAAAATTATATTTTTTATTTATAAATATATATACCGGTATACACACAGTATATAATAATTTATGCGTTAATATCAATTATGCAATATATGACAAACTATAACTATTTATTTGTTGTACAGTATGTCAACTTGTCTGCCACTAAAATATGATATCATAATCGATAGTTTAGTACATTAGCTAAATAGCGGATAATTAAATTGTAATACAAGTGATATTTATTAATATATTGGGATATATACGATATAACTACATATATTTACTCAAAAATGATTGATATTATTCATTTAATATACATATTTATAATATCAATTTATATACAAGTTTATTAAACAGTATACTGTATAACGATTATATATTATACATGCTATAATATACAGTATTTACTTGTACTCTTGTACTACATGTATTGTTTATAAATATATATCAAATTGATATCAATATTTTTACTATAGGTTTAATGAATTTTTAATTAGTTTTTAAAAAAAATTTAAATTAAGTTGAGTAAGCATTTTAAATTTACATTAAAAAATTCAATATATAAAATTAAAAAGACATTATTTGATTAAAAATAATTGATAACACTATTAAATTTCTTATCTGTTTTAGTGTTACTAAACGTCGATAATTCAAATATGAATCCATTATTTATGATAATATATTCACAGATCACGACATCCTATTGTTTGTCAAATGACATTTTAATATCATTTATTATAATGTATTACTAATTTTTACTAATATAATTAATTTGCGAAATAAAAATAGTTACCATAATTTTATTATAATATTTACAATGTTAGCTACGTTATTGAATAATAAATTAAAAATGACATTTAATTAAGTGTTTTAAAACTTAAATACTTACACTACATTAATTACATTATTATTGTTTTTTATTAATATTACCTGTACTTTATTATTACCGGTAATCATGTTATAGTATAAATATTAAATGCAATAATGCAAAAGTCAAATAAAAATTTAAATTATAAGTCAGACAAATAACATCTAAACTAAATTTATTAAATTCTTTATATAATTTCAATTATTATTAATAAACATTGATTTTAAATATTGAATAAAAAATCACTAAAACCTTATAACCTCTCAAATAGACATATCTTTAGTAATGCAAAATTACAAATTGATGACCATGCTCATTTATTAATACTATATATACTGTATATATAGTATTATAGTTACAGTAAATCGATAGCAATTAAGCAAACAATTGAGATATGAAAACATGTGTTTTGAGATACGGGTAACAAAAATGTTGATAACTGTTGTGACAATGCGGTGACAGAAGTGGTCAGTACTGTCCCGGATGATCGTTAACATGCAAACTATAGTGTGCTTCGCGAACCAACTCAACGGTTCCGTTCAGTTTCTTTTGCAAATACTCGACACAATGCGGGTGCAAATCGAGGACACGGCTAACACTTTTGGTTGACATACCGGTGCGCACCATATTTTCGGCCATGTCCATTTTGGACTGCCATACGGCAAATGGACTATTCGTGTAGTATTCAGCCCTAAATTTGCGAAACTATAAGAATAACAATTAAGTGATGGCATAGTGGAGGTCATGTCATGTCATGTCATACCTGATAGTCTTGCCATGAGATCAGTTTGGGTTTGTGTTTATTCCCGATCTGCCATCTAATGTCCCGTTTCTTGAATTCAGGTCTATCTAAATAACCGCACCATTTGATCATTCGCTTGTATCGTATACTCTGTGTGGCCACCGATAGACCGGATAACCGACGGCTCAATACATCCAACGATCGGCACAACGATTGGACAAACATTTTACACACAAATCATATGTTTTGAAGTTTTCAATGAAAATACATGTTTTGTCGTCAAAACAAACTTCACATTCAATACAATTGTCCATAAATTATGTCTAAACTTTAGTTTCAAAACGTATAGAAAGTAAACAATGATTTAAAACTATTAATTGACGTAATTATAAATATTTAAATTTACATAATTTTAATGTTTGTATAATTAATGTTTATTTAATTAAATTATAAACTAAAAAATAATTGGATTATTTGGTTGAAAAATTTATAAATACTTTTTTAAAAAAACCAAAATTATATCTTGGGCTCGTCCGGGATTTGAACCCGGGACCTCTCGCACCCTAAGCGAGAATCATACCCCTAGACCAACGAGCCTTAGTTATTATAAGTTTAATAATTAGTTTATACTAGATTTATATTATATTAGAAATGAATACAACTGTTAATACTATTTATTAATATAAATTAAATTACTAAACATGTTTTTACTTCAAAAATTACAGTATTATGTAATAAGTYAATTGCAATATATTGTTAGCAATTAAAATATGTATACAAAAAATACATTAGTAATACTAATTTAGTATATAGTCTTAAATACGATTATTAATAATAAATATTACTAATATTTATAAAAATATGAAATTATCATCGGAGGTACAGTGAATTACTAGTTTAAGGCAAAATTACAAAATATTTTGACCTGGGCTCGTCCGGGATTTGAACCCGGGACCTCTCGCACCCAAAGCGAGAATCATACCCCTAGACCAACGAGCCTTAATTAAAACTAAATTGATTTGTTGTTGACTCGTATTTTAAATTTGCAAATTTATTTAAACAGGTGTTTAAAATTTAGAGCACTACCAAAATTGAACATATTTTGGAAATCATGTCAATGTATTTGTTATACTAAAAAACAAGTTTACTAAACATGTGTCACAACCTGTTACTTATGAAACTATATTATCATATAATTTGGTATTTTTTCAATAAGTTTCTGATCATCAATACATTTGTATGTTTAACAATAATCTAGTTTATAAAAATATTTTACTTATATATTTTGAATGAATAAAAATGATGGTCATCATCTTAACAATATACTGTACAGTATATATAAAATTATATTATCAATTTTGCAAGTATATGTTAAATTAAAAATTTAATTTAATATATAAAAGTAAATAAAGTATAATAATTTAGAAATAACAATGTTAATAAACATAAATTTATTCAAAATATTAACATTATTTTAATGTTAAGTTATCTACTATTTGTTATCTGTTTTAAATTACAATCAAATGTTAACAAATAAATCTTAATTTATTTAATATTTCTGTTTCATATAATTTTTGTCCATAAATATAATATTTTAATTATAATATTAATTTAAAATAAATATTTTCTTTACATTTGTTTGTCGTAAGTTTTGATTCAATCATTATATAATTTAAAGAAATATATTTATAATTTATATAAATTATTTATAAACAAGTTTTCTAATAAATAATCTTGTTTGTTTGATTTAATATCATAAGTAAATACAGTATAATATATTAATTATTAAATTAATTATAAATCTCACAAAAAACTAAAAAAGATATTTAATATAATTATACAATAAAACAACAATAATAATATCAGTAATTAATAATTACTAATTATCGTATCAAGAAAAACAACTGCCAAACAATTAAAAACAAATAATAACTTATTTTATGATATTATTGTAATACAATATTACTCGTAATAAAAAATTAATGATAAACAACTAAAATTGTTACAAATTATTACATAATATATGATTTATATTTAATTGACTATTAATAGTCTATTATATTATGAAAAATTATGAGACCTAATATACAATATCTAATAAGTATAGTAGTTCACAACAAATTTATCAAAAAATAATAATTTTATATCAAAAATGTATTATTAATTAAACTTCAGTCACTATAAATTATAGGGCACTTTATATTTTCAATTTTAATTTACAAATATATAATTTTGTTTAAATTATTGTATTTATATTAATTTATTGTAAAACTAAATATTCTAATAATCTCTAATTTAATAGTATTAACTATAAACAACATTTTTAAATTAAAATCTATGACTGTTTCAATATATACTGTATATAATTATCATTGTTTTGTTCGTTGCTTTTTATATCCATCGCCTCCACGTTTGGCACCTGATGTTTGGCCGCTGTTGCTACCGGTGCTTATCATTGATTTCAATTGTTGTTGCTGTTGTTGGTGGTGCTGCTGTTGTTGTTGTAATTGTATCTATAAATAATAGTTTATAAGTGATATTTCCATAAAATCAAAATTTTTGTAATACTTGTGAAAATGCATTATTATTGATGAGAACCTCAGTGTTACCGGTGGTATGATTTTGGCCCAAATTCAGTATTAATCCTTCAGTTATTAGACCGGTGTTACCGGCAGTGGTAGCTGTGCCGGCAGTGGCATAGACTAGTCCTTGCGTGGGATTATACATCAGTGTTGGTGTTGTGCTACTGGATGTCGACGACTGAGATGACTGGCCGGTGGGTAATGCTATTTGGCTCCCATTAGCACACAATAAGATGTTTCCTAAAATAAAATCATTAAAAATATATTATTGTTTGTGAATAGCATTTCCCTAAACAAATGGTTTTCATTTTAACAAAAAAAGTATGAATGAATACATTTGTCATTTTATAGTTCAGAATTTAATATTCAAACAAATTGTTGACTTTGACTATAATTTTTAGCTAAAGCTTAGCTATTTTATAATAAGTATTCAATTATAACTTGTTTTTTGTTGATTTTGATTAGAAAATTATTATAATTTAAATTAACAATAATTTTATTTGAAAACAAATTTTGTGTTTCTACTATTATTTTATTTTATCAATCAATAGACTATAGGGTGGGAACAATAGTAGGAACATTGTATATACCGGCGCTCAACAGTTGCTGAGCTGATGCGTGAGTCATATGAATTGCATTATGTATGGTTTGATTTGGTTTAGTATTGGATCCAATTGTTCCCAATTTTGATGTATTACTTGACGTCAACTGCAAAGCAGCTGATGGTGTAGTCGTTACCAATGATGTAATTGATGGTACAGTGGATTGAGATGTATGTGATAGCGAAGTCGGATTCAATAAAACTAATTATTAAAAAATTAATTAAAATTTAACAACAAATCTAACCGTTTTATTAAACTATAAGTACATAAAAATCGCTATCAATGCATACCATTAGTATTATTCAATTGTGATATCAGTTGACGATTAGTTAGTTTAGCATTTATTTCATTCAAGTAATTAAGTGGTAAAGCATTTTCCAACTGTGCATAAGTTGCTGTTCCCGGTGTTATACCAGCGGTCATGAACTCAGATGAATCCTCGGCGCCGTTATCTGACGACTCGCCACTTGATTGTCCCGCGCCTTCACACGACTCGTCTTCACTCTATTGATATTATATTATAATTATATTTAATTAGAAATTCAATTGATATTCAACAGCTATTAACACATTAGCGCTAAAAATTACTGTAAAAATGACTCAAAACACTAGCAAATAGCTATTTTTAGCAACCCTTATATAAATGAAAATATAATTTAAACAATTGTGAACATACTTTAGTTATAAAAAATATTTTTAAATGTTTGCGGAAAATAGTTTTTAATGATTACACAAACAATTTTTACAGTTTATATTATAATATTTATATATGTTTAAATATGAAAAAGATTATACACATTAAGTGAGTATAAGGTATATGTAAAATATAAATTAAATACTTATAAATAATGTAGTATTAATATACATGTATGTTTAAATGTTGGCATTTCAATTTGTATTTGAATTTTGCTTTCAATATTAGTGCCAAATGCTAGTTATATTAAATAATAAAAAGAAAAATAGTCACAAATGTGTGTAAATAAGTAAATGTTTCGTAATGTCAAACACTATAATACAAATATATATATATAAAACTATCATCTCTGCATTTTTGATTAACAGATTGTGAAATATTTACACACAAATGAAAAACATTTCATAAATAAGCGTAAAAATTAAATTTTTATAATTACTCAAAGTATGAAATATAGTGCTATAAATATTTAAAAATTWTATATTTTTTTCGACATTTTTTCATCAAAAAACTAACACATTTTCAATGAATCATTAATATGCTATATAATATATTCTGTACATACATATACACTATATTATAATACAATACAATTAAATAATAAACAGGAAATTCTTATACAAAATAATAATAATAATATTAATAATAATAATGTCATCTCATTATAGCTTTTGAGTGTAAATATCATATTATTTTCAATGTTTCCTAATTATGTTAAAACACATAAAAATTTAACTGTCTTTCAGTATTCAAACAATTGGTGTTTGAAAAATGTCATTAAAATATTTCAATAATAAAAAATTTTGTTGTCATTTAAGCTCAGTTCTAAAGTTAGACAAAAATGTATATTTATTACAAGTTTTTTTTATCACTAAAGTAATATATTCTCGTTAATAGTTATTTAAATTTATGTAAAATTTATTAAAAAAGCATTGATGCAAGAATTATTTAACATAAATAATAATATACAACATTTTATTAAATTTTAACATTTAAATAATATTAACAAGTTATTTTTATAATTTAGAAAATAAACTAAACCGTTTGAAAATAATTTAATATTAAAGTGATTAATGGTTTAAAAATGATATATTCAAAAAAGTAAAAATATTTAACTTTCTCAGCTAAAAAATATCTAAATTTGTATCCAATGTTTACTATTAATACTAATGAATGGCAAATATCCAAATTTTACAACAAAAATTGGTACTCATATAGTAATAATTTTAGTTAAACTATAAAATAACCTGTTATTACAAATACAGATTAACATATAATAATAAATAAACTATAATGTTATTACATATATTAATTCAATTATTAGATATAGTATTCTCATTATTATCATAGAAAATAATACTAAAATCAATAATACAAGAAATTGTCAATAAAAACCTAACTCTAAATATTTATGATTTATACCAAAAGTGATTGGATTAACAAAAATAAATCCAAAAATAACAGCAACTGAAAGGAGGAAAATGTTTGACTAATTTTAGCAACAAATCTATGCTAACATATCATCCAAAATGGGATTACTTTATATAGACTGATGTTATATGAAATGATTACAGAATATATATTTCACTCCAAGAATTCTAAATAAGAATATTCTGTAGGCGTTGTTAAGTCAATCATTGAATAATTTKTTWAYYRAAAAATATTTTTGTTGATAAAAAGARACTCTAAATCACTATTTTTAAATTAATTTAATAATGATTTAAATATAAATTATAAATATATCAAATACATTGTATATAACTAAATTATAGTTCATAGACAATCTTAAAATAAAAATCGCATMATTGGTAAAACATTCAAATGATGTTAAATTAAGTTTATAATAAAATTAATAAAAGATCAAAAAATTATCRWAATATTACTACTTATTTAAATAGGATAAATAAAATAAAATAATAAATATTAATTTTTATATAATATAAACTCATATAGTAAATTATGTCTAAATAATAATCATAGTAATCTAGTATTTGCTATAAATTTCTACTCTATTTTTTTTGCTTAACTTTAGTTTATTTTTGTTCAAACCTCTCATAAAAACAAAATTTGAAAAACACATACATTATCTATAAGTTAATCATTTCATCACTACATAACTCAATCCATACACTGAATGTAAACAATTTCATTTCAAATATAAAATGAAGTTATCATCAGTTAGGTTCACAAATTAAAAAATACAATGTGTTTTTGTTATACTATTATTATTATTATTATTATTATTATTATTATTATACCTATATTAAAATATATTTTATAAAAACTATTATAAATAAAATTATATTAATGTATAAACTAAAAATACATATTTAAAAATTTTTATTATACCATATTTCTATATATACAGTATCTTTCACTGTTAAAAACTATACATACTATATATGTATAGGATATATATATATATACAGTCGATCACAAAATTGGTGAACAAGGTTTTTTGTAAATATCTTTAGAATGGATAATAATTTTACAAAATATTTTATTCACGACTATTGTTTTAGAAACGGCAAAATAATTTGATTTTATTCAAATACTATGCAACCAACTTAAAAATGCCGAAACATGTATCTAATAATTTTTGACCTAGTATAATTTGTAATTTATAGAATTTTTTATCTATTATAGTTTTCTTGATATGAACCATCCCTGTCCTCTTTATATACCTGAGTCCAATTTTACAAAAAGTGCTTATACCAAACTGACTGTTCCAAAAAACAATAGTTGTGAACAAAATATCTTTGTAARATTATTATCCAATCTAAGGATATACACAAAAAACCTCGTCCACCAATTTTGTAAACGACTGTATATATACTGTATATATATATATATATTGTGAAAATATGTCAAAATAAGAGGTCATTAGCATTTCAAACCATTGATAGTGCATCTCATATGAAGTCATCCTATTCCTCATCTCTTAATGCCTCTAATCCCTGATTCAAATGCTATGAATTACCAAATATAGTAACGGGACTGCATTTGTCAAAAACAGACATTTTTAGACACTATAATCTTTTTTCCTCATCTAATGAATAGAGCATTCATTGTCAATACAATAACAAATTATGTAAAATAGCTTAATATGTAAAGAATATATAGTATTGTATTAATAAATAGCAATGAATCTATAAAAAAATGAATGATTTTTATTCAATACAATAGAAAATTTTGAATATAAAAACTATTTATTTTTATTTTTTTGTATAACCAATGGTTTGCTGTAAAAAACAAAACATAGCATCAAAAAATATAATAAGTAAATAAAAGCTTAACACAACTTTCTTTTTTAAACAACATTTTTTTGTTCATAATTAATGTCAATTTATTTAGTGAATGAATGAGTGAGAGATAGAGAAATAAATAGACGGATAGACAGAGAAATAATATGAGAATAAGTGACGCACCCATTGCTTGTAAGCCATGTCTATATAATTACAATATATTATAATATTATTGCATTAATATTAAACAAAAAACAATTATGTCATTATATTTCATTTATATAGTATATAAATTTACTATACTATATGCTAGTATATCATATTGTGTAGTATAAATATATATATAAATTTATAATACAGTATATCGTATTATATATGCAGTAAATTATATAAAATAAAAGACTAACTGTTTATTTAACAATTTAAAAAAAAATTTCAGTGTTATTTCAAATAATCATAATATAATTATCTGCAATTAATGGATAAATTATGTATAATTGAATAAACTGCATAAATTTCAATAAAACAATTACTAAGTATTTAAAACAGGAAAAATATTGATGTTATATATCAACAAAATGTTTATTGGTCTCAATGAATGGATAATTATAATCAATTAAACTTTATTATAAAAAAAATAATTGTTTTATGAAAGAGTCGTGAATTAAAAATAACTTTTAGTTAAATACATCTATATATTACAATAGTATTATTATTATAATAAAAAAAAGATAATAAAACCATGCTTTTCGACTAATAATTTATAAAATAAAATAATAAAAAATAAATCAAACAATAATTGTTTTTAATAGTACATTAAATACAAATTTATAAATTTCAAAAAATTAAAAATATTTTTTCTTGACAAAGATATTATCAMAATTAGCAGCAATTGATGAAAACGTTTTTTWAAATTTTGTATAATCAATATATTTAATAACAAGTCATTTAAATTCAATTGTCTCAAGTAGTTAATGATTTAGTATAAGATGGATAATAAATCAAAAGCAAAATAAACATTAAATTACAAAAACCAGGTTTTGAAACCACTATATGAATGAATTTCAATAATGATTTTGAATTTTTTTTTCTATGAATAGCACATTAATTATGAATTGCTTATAGTTTTTCACAATTTCACATACAGTATACTTATACACACACACACACACACACTCTCTCTCTCTCTCTCTCTCTCTCTCTCTCTCTCTCTCTCTCTCACACACACTCCCCGTTGATTTAAGTAAACATAGGATTGGCCTTCAATGTAATGAAATGACAGTCAAAGTTTTTTTTTTTGAATTTAAATTATCACAAAACAGTTATGATGTAAATGAATTGACAGATCATAACGACAATAATAAACAAACTTTCACACAATAAACATGCAATATATTAAAAATAATTAAAATTGATATAAGAGAAGGGTATGTCCATTATTTTATTCAAAAATTTTATGATTTACATATTTTTATTGATAACATATAAATTAATTAAATGTAAACTATTAATAATAAATGAAAATTATATCAAATTTTAAGTAGTTGTTATATAAATATAAAATA